CCCTCTGTCCCCTATTGCGCCAGTGCGCCTTAGGGCGCTGCTGCTTCCGGTCGGAAAAATCAAGCGCTCGCGGTTCCTGAGCTTCGCCGCAAGGCTGCAAGCCGAAAATATCGTTCGTTTGGGAGATATTAGCCCGGATGCGCGGCCCAATCGAAGTAAGCCATGCACCTGGGAAAATGCCCATAACATTATACCCATACTGATCGTCGGGTAGACATGTTCTCTCCGTTAGCGTTTCCTACGGGCATGATTCTCTACGACCTTTCCTTCTCCGTGCCCCCAACGTCGCATCTCGAACTCTTTCCCTTCGAGGTCTTTCGCGAACCGCTCGTTGTCATTGCGATTGCCGACGGAGCAGAACTGGAGGGCGGGGAGGATGGCGAGAAGTTAGAGCAGGTCGCTGGACTGGACCAACTTCAGCAGGAGCTGGAGGTCGCTCGGGGAAGACACACAAGGGCCTTGGTACATCAACTCCTTGTCTTTGATCATAACGGCGTCGACAAGCTCTCGAATGGACCGGGTGACGTTTTATGGGTACCATGCCCCGAGGCATCCAAGGCAACTACGATGAAGACCGTCTTGTGCGATATCACTTCCTTGCTGCTGTCGGAGCTGGATGAGTTCGCCAAAACCATACAAAGCATACCTTCCATTGAATCTCCCAAAGCCTCGTCTTGGGGCCCACAACGAGGCCCAGATCTACGCCCACGTCCCACCGACAGGTTATTTCATCGCATGACCATGCCTGCGCACCTTCCCTCCAAACCCAACGGTACTACACCTGAAACTCCCGGCGCCAGCTCGAGCCAGAGCTCTCCTGCTCCTAGCGACTATGAGACGCCCACAACCTTTGATGAGATTACGCGATCTATCCAACTGTCCAATCGGTCGAGCGCGTTTGGGAAACCTCACTCCCTACCCTCATCGAAGGAACATAGTCGTGACCGGATGTCGGTGAGCAGCATGAGTGCTACCGACCGGACGAAAAACCGTATCAAAGGACGTACGGGTCTCGTGGTAGGGACACTCTTCCTTCAAGCTGGGAGATGGCCAGATGCTCTCAAGGAGCTCGTCGAGGCCGCATCGAATGCTCGAGCGAGCAGCGATTACGTTTGGCACGCCAAAGCCCTTGAATCTATTCTCTTGTGTCTATTAATGTTTGGTTGGGCAGGGATGGACTTTCAGGTATTCCTCTTCCCCTTCTATGCCATAAAAACTTATGAAATAATAATGAAATAGATCCCTCCAATCTGCTATCCAGTGGCCGACAAGTCCGCGAAATCGTCCTTCAACCTGGATTCGACTCCTGGGAACCGTGTGGTTTCTCTTCAGAATTTGTCCAATCTCTTACCGGATCTCTCGAATAATATAATGAACCTATATAACCGCGCAGCGAATATTACCGACGAACCTCTACCTCAACTTGTTTTCTCCGAAACCATGATCCGCTTAGCAAGGATCTTGGTGGCTGCGCGCATTCGGGACGGGGCCTTGGATGATAATGCTCTGAAGCATATTGTCACCAATGAGCCTCTCGTGCCCTTGCTCCGACCAGAACGTCCCCGTGGGCTGGTCATCCTGCGCAAATCTGAAATAGCCAATTTTTTGTTCCGTGCCTTGCCACTATCCCCGGGGTCCGACCTACCGGCAACAGACTCTATACCGATCATCATCGGTGTCGTCTCTGTTTTGAACACCCTGGACCTGCCACGGAAGAAGGCCTTCATTCTGAGAGAGCTGTTGTCCATCATGGTGCCAACGCTTGTCCAGGCCCGCAAAATTGGCGCGGCGGAAGTAGGTATTCATCCTGCCGCCGGCCTCGCTTCGCTGAGTGAGACAGCCTTTGATATCAACGCTCTTGATGTCGGTCCCGGGAATATGGAAGAAAGTGTGCGTTCTCTGCTTGCCTCCATAGGGGAGATCTACGGGGTGCAACCTTCTTCTTTTTATGAATGGGAAAGCACTCGCTCTTCAACCCTTGGCCAAGAGGTTCCTGAATATGATTCAGTCGCCTCCATTGTTGAGCGTTCCTTTAGGCACACTGTTCTGGACAAATATGGTGACCTCAATTTGAAAGTCGATGTCCTGAGAGCCTGCATCAATTCGTGTGAAGCTCTGCCGGATTTCGGCGGTGTCCTCCGCTTCACGGTGGAACTCCTTCAAACCATCCGTGGTGATCTCATGCTTACCGAATCACAATATACTCCCCCTTACTTGCCTTATGATGAACAGGTTCGCCTTCTCAACAACATTAAGCGCACAGTTGGCGCAGCCACCAAGCTGGGCGCGTCGGGTCTTGAGGCGGAATATTGGGACGATTTTTTGGTCCGTGGAATTCAAATGCTACCGCTACCCGATCCCAAGAAACCAGTTCGCCGCTCCAGGCCAGAACTTGATGCGGTCACCGTTGAGAAACCCAAAGATCCGTTCCTGTACAACCCCTTCTCCAAGGCAAACAACAAGGCTTCGGAGCTTCTGATCGTAGCTGGAGAACACGCTGCATTCCAAGTCACGCTTCAAAACCCTTATGAGTTTGAGATCGAGATCGAAAGACTCCGGCTTGATGGCCAAGGCGTACCATTTGATGCTGTGGCCGAATGGATCATTCTACCGCCCCTCTGTTTGCAGCAGGTGACCATCTATGGAATGGCTCACGAGGAGGGCAAAGTAAACATCACCGGCTGCCTTGTCAAGGTTCGACATTGTAGAGAACGAAAGTTTCCCATCTTCCAGAATTGGTGGAGACCAGAGGCTGAACAGAAATTCAAACGAACTGGATTATTGGCCAAGAAGCCCTCCATGGACCGTCCTCTCTCCTGGAGCTCGACGACTTCGAAAGATGGGAAACCACTTCCGAAGAAGGGGCCTGAAACATCGTCTTGCGAGGTCAAAGTGATCGGCCAACAGCCCTCTTTGGTCATTGAATCGCTTTCACTATCGCAATCGGCGGTGATGGTTTTGGAGGGCGAGCTCGGATCCTTCCAGATCACACTACGGAACACGTCACCATGTTCTCTTGACTTCATCCTTTTTACATTCCAAGACTCCACGACGAGGCAGATCCAGTCCGCCTTGAGCAATAAAGACCTCCTGCCGGTCGAAGTGTATGAGCTCGAGCTCAAGTTGTCAAAGCCAGCTTTGCAATGGCGCCGAGAAGGCGTAAACCCAGCTGATCACACCATACCTGCAGGCCAAAGCGCCACGTTCACTATTGATATCATTGGGAAAGCCGGTCTACAAGACACCACGGTGCAGATTGATTACTCCTGCGTCGGACCTTCCGACCTTCAGTCACTTCCGGACGTCTTCTACACTCGACAGTTATTTGTGCCGCTTACAGTTACAGTAAATGCCAGCGTAGAAGTCGCCCGTTGTGACATACTACCCTTCAGTGCTGATTTTGCGTGGTGGAATAGCCAAGGCGTGGACCCGAAAACAGAGGGTTTTGCTCAGCCTTTGCCTCCGACCGACGACAATTTCTTCTCTCCGGTGCTCTCTCATCTCGTCCAAGGTGCCTATGGTCCTGAACACTGCATCATGCTTCTCGACCTCCGCAACGCTTGGCCGAATCCCCTGTCGGTGACGCTCGATGTGAGCGAGCATCCCCTGACAGATGAATCTGACACCAAGGATGACCAGTATTCTGTCTTTGGGGAGCTGCAGCCCGGCCAGCTGTCGCGGTTTGTATTTGTCCTCCCTCGTGTTCACCTCGAGAATCCGCATGCGTCGATACCACTTCTTAACACGGGAGTCAAGAGACAATTTGTTGTCAGTGCCAACAAACTTACATTCGAGGGCGAAGCAACGTCACGCGAGGCATTCTGGTATCGAGAAGAGCTGCTCAAGAGAGTTAGCGGATCCTGGAAAGAAAGCCCGGTCGGGCGTCAGGGAACAATTGATCTGAGAAACCTGCGCTTCAGCACACGAATGGTGGACGCGTTCCGGCTCGACGACGTCGATGTGACCTTTTTGTTGCGCCCCTCTTTCGCGGACACATCCGCCAGCGTCACCCAGACTGGACGGTCGAAATATCTGGTCCAGACCGATGAAATGATGAATCTCACCGTCACTGTCCGCAACCGCTCCTCGCGGTCCATTCACCCTCTCCTGCGACTTCAACCGAGTCTTCGCCACCAACCCAGCAATATTGCGCTGGATCTGTCACGACGTCTCGCATGGACCGGTATGTTGCAGCAGGTCTTGCCTGTCATCCACAGCGGTGAGAGTACGTCTGCCACGATCGGAGTGACTGTCCTCTGCAGGGGCGAGTACGAACTCGGAGCCACCGTGGAGGAAGTCCGTCTCCTAAAATCCTCCACGAACCGACACTCTCTGCTCCCAGTCCCACACACCTTCCATGAGGACGACCTGGCGATCAAAGATACATTCGGAGCCGATGTGGCTAAGAAACGACGCATTTGGCATGCCAAGGAGATGTGCATCATGGATGCGCACGCGTGAGTTCAACGAAAGGGCTCACGCTTTAGTTGACGACGGAACCGGCACTCTTTTGTGCCAGCTTTGTTCGACTACGATAGTCGTGGCGACGAGGATTTTATGATTCTCATGAATGTTATGATGTTCTTGTGAGGTACGGGGTAAACGTTGGCGGTCATTCTAAGCAAGCTTTTTACGATGCAGTCGTCTAGAGGGGTTGTAAATAAGCCGAGTTCAAAGATATTTGTTTCGCAATATATAGATAGAACTATTTGATCGGATCTGGTGGTTTGTATATACCCTCGGGACGTCAATGAAATATCTAATCTCACTTAATTTCAGTCAGCGTCGTATACAAACCCTAAGCTTCTTCATATTCTTTAGATCCTCTGGATCGACGCGGGAAGTGTGTACGGCACAGGCACTGTTTTGCAAGCACTGCACAGATGCTGATGCCATTCTAAGAGCATCTGACCCGGCTAAGAAACGCCGAGGCGAGGAAATCTCTGTGTTGAGGATGAATGACTTGTTTCTCGAAAGACAGCCGGCAACCAATCGTCAGTTCAGGTGGCCGTCTCCCCGTCTTCTCTTTCATGGACATGAGGCCCCGAAGACCTGTCCTTCGCAGGCGAAGGGCCTGGCTGCTCTCCCTGCGGAAAACTGAGGTATTTCCAGTCTTCGATCTCTTCGATGATACATTTTAGCCGATCCCGGATGCTCTCGACGGCGTACGTTCCCAGGATAAGGCGCAGCGGAGGATAGGAACAATGGCCCAGCTGCCAGACTAGATTGGCCGCTTTGACAGCACTGGCGGGCTGTTTATCGCCGAGCCACATCAGCATGCGTTTCGCATGCGCCGCAGGGGAAGTCGCTGTGTTGTACGGCTCGCTCGGCGGCTTGACGAGGAAGTGGCCGTACAATGGCAGTGGCGACGCGAGGTCGACATTGGGATTACTGGCCGTCAGCGCCGCAATGGGGTCGTCCGCCGACACGAGGTCCCCCACGTCGTCGCGGCGCATGTGGCCCGGTTCCACAAGCGTCGTCTTAATGTTGAAGCTGTCCACTTCGTAAAGCATGCTCTCCATGAGCCCCTCGACCGCGTACTTTGAGGCGCAGTACGGGCCTAGCCCCGGTACTCCCAGGGCGCCCGAGGTCGAGCTGAAGATCAGATAGCGACCGGCCCGTCGCTCGCGGAAGTGCGGCAAGGATAGCTGAATTATGTTCAGCGTGCCGGTGAAATTCGTCTCAAATTGGTCGCGGATGTCGTACTCGTCCTGGTCTTCGCATGCGCCGATCACTCCGTATCCGGCGCAGTTCGCGATGATGTCAATGCGACCAAACCGCTCGATGGTGCGCTCAATGACGCGCCGCACCGTCTCGCGGGCGCGCACATCACATAGGAGACCTAGGCAGTTTTCATGCTCCTCCAGCTTCTTCATGCGCTCGGGGCTATCCTCGAAGGTGCGCCCAACCGCCGCAACTAAATCATCCCGGGACAAAGCGGTCTTGACTAGCGAGCGACCCATGTGACCGGTCGCGCCGAAGATCTATCCGAAAGAGAGTATCGAGTCAGGAGCCCGTCTTCAGGGACTGGGGATGGAGTCATCATACCAACCACACGAGCGGCTTTGGCGGATTTTGAGGACCTGGGGGGTCAGTGGTCGAAGGAAGACGGAGCTTTGGCTCTCGCGCCCCAGGGCCCGAAGGCGACGAGGCGTTGGGCTCCATCACTTGCTGAGGTATAGCTGCTGCAGGTGCAAGACCGATGGATCCGGAGTTGAGGTTGACCGAGGAATCTCCGCACTGGGAGAATCCGGGGTCTCACCGCCGTGGATTATATAATTCTGAGAATAACTAGCCAGTCATACGATTTTCGACTCCGTTACATTTGTGACAAGTGACGACATCTAGACGGTGCCATTGCGGCATTGCATATTATAGAAGCTGAAAATACTAGGTATTGAACTACTCAGATCTTCACCGGTCCACCTCCCTCCGAAGCCGTCCAGCGGCCGTCGAGGGACCAGGCTCCGGCCATCCGCTCACAGCGTCGTCGACTTCCTCCAGGAAACTCGTGCTGTTGTGGATGGTCGTACCTCCGAGGACTACTCGCACTCCTGGCGAGCTGGCGTTGACCTGGGCTACCATCTTGGCCTCCTCGTACGTCGCTCCGCCAACCATAAATATAATGATATCCTGGGGCTTGTCACGGATGTGGCCTCCGCCCTCGAGGAAAGGATACTGCAGCTCTTTCAATCTACCCTTGATGAGATTTTGTAGCGTCGCCTCCAGTCGGGGGGAGTGTTGCGTGTAGACATTCTCGACTCCCTTGAGTCCCTTGAAACGATCCCGAGCCCCGGAAAAGAAAGAAGTCGATTCAAATAGATCCGAGAAGCCGCCGGCGACCGGGGGTGCTTGTAGGGAGTGGTGATAAGCAAGCAGCTTCGGGATTATGTTCACCTTGTAGGAAGGAACGTTGCCCGCCGTGATCATCAAGTCTAGCAGGACAGGGAGGGCATTGTTCGGTTGTTTCTCGTACCGGATGGCGTACAGAGCCACCAAGCGCAATTTGTTCTCGGCGGGAACGTTGGGAAGTTGGATGATCCGTTGTAGGTTCTACCAGGGTGAGTCAAGCTCTCTGAGGCTTTGAGGCAGACTTACCTTCAGATCATTGGCGTGGTTCTCATTGCAAGCCAGGCTCTGCTCCAACTCGCTCGCGTCCAGCAGATCCTCCTCACCGACTCGCCGACTGAGCTCCCCAACAAGCGTGACGTGTTTGCTCACGTTGCCCGAGAGCTTGCGGAATTCGGGATAATCCTCCACAAAGCGCTTCATATCCGCAATCGACTCGATGTTCATGGTGTTCTGGGTCTTCACCTGGTACTGTTCGACATACTCTTTAATGTTTTGGCCCAGATCACCAAAGTTCTGGTACATGTTTTTCTTGAAAAACGGGTCTTGATCCTGTGAAAGAACGATTTCCCGCAGCTCGGGCCGGATCTCTGGCACATCCCGCAAGTCCACCCGCCCGTTGTGAATACCCATTAATTCATGAACCATGGCTTGGTACGTCCACTGGGTAAGTAACGGCGTGATGGGGTCATCCCGACGGTCGAGAATCAGCAAAATCGGCGGCGTATCTGTCTTGCGAAAATTGAATAGTTGTTCTTCTTGGGTCAGTTGATAGCGGACCTCGGTCGCTAATTTCTTGGCTAGAAGACTGTTTTTCTCAAAGCGAATCAGTGGATTCTTTTTAAGAGATAACAGCATGGCAATCACCCCGTCTGTGGCTCGTTGCAGTGCATCTGCATTCCACAGATCTGGCGAGTGGCTCCACAGTCGCTGCTGCGGGAAACCCAGGTTGAAAGAACACAGGTCCGGATTAATGACGAGGAAATCGGCGAAATGCTCTTGAACAACGCGAACAACCTCGTGGCTGTCTGCTTCTGCTAGTCGTTCTAGCGAGGATTTGCGGATGATGTTACTGAGGTAGATGTAGTATTCGCCGTACTTTGGCTCGCGCAGTTCATCGATGAGGAATTGGATGGAGGTCGGAGATGGTCGTACAAAGCAGAGACATCGTAGATGTCGCATTCGCTCTCGCGCTGCATTGTCCAGGCGATCGATCAAATACACGTCATGGTTCAGGAGGGCAGACTGGGTGATGGCCGTCGATACAATCGGCACCTATTCAAAGCGCAGGTTAGCCAATTGGGATCTTTCCGCTGAGATGTTGGAAATGCGGTCTCCCACTGTCTCACTGTCCAGAAGCAAGATCTTCATCTTGGTCGACGATGCAGTACCCGACGAGGAGGGATCCCCCGCGGTGACCATCTTGGAGATGTACCCCGAAACCGCCGCGACGACGTCCATTGTGCAGGTTGAACAGCGCCAGCAAGGCGCGGGGAAAGACTGGCACGAGTTATCGAGGAGCACGAATAAAGGAAAAGGGGGGGGGTTAAGGGGAGCAGTGGAGGAAAGGTGGGCGGAAATGGAGACCGATGGAGAGAGACGAGGAACAAGAATCGGGACGCCAAGCAACGATGACATGTGATGCTTGCGACTTGTTGAGAAATCGCAGATCGCCGCCTTTTTTTTCTTTTTTCTTCTTGTCTTCCACCCCTCGTCCGTGTCCTCGTCCTCATGTCTTCCAGGACGAGACCTTGACCTTCTTTCTATATATCGGTCCTAGCTTTTCTCCTTTTGCTCTCTCTCAACACCCCGCCCTCGGCTGCACGCCCAGCATGCTGCCATACATTAACCTCCGTGAGTCCCAACAAGCTTCTACAAGCTTCCGAATAGCTATCTTTTGTCTGTCACTCACTTTTACTGACACGAAACCCTGTCTGTACAGTCTTCGACTATCCTGCGGCCCTCACTGGAGCCTCCGTGGATGAGTGTATGCGCTTCCACCCTATTCCTCTCGCCGTGACCTCGGACTGATAGTTTCATTCCGGCAACAGTGAAGCTCATCGCCTCCTTCCTGCTCTCTTACCCGTTGGCAGGACTGCTGAAGAGAATTCCCGACTCCCAGCCCTGGAAGAAAAATGCGTTCATTATTGCGGTGTCGTTGTTCTATCTGGTGGGCTTGTTTGACCTCTGGGATGGTCTCCGAACGCTGTCGTACAGCGCGGCCGGTGTTTATGCCATTACCTACTACATTGACGGGTCGCTGATGCCCTGGATCGGTTTCATTTTCTTGATGGGTCATATGTCCATCAGCCATATTTACCGACAAATCCTGGACGACGGGCAGGTGGTTGACATCACGGGTGCTCAAATGGTACTTGTCATGAAGCTTACCTCGTTTTGCTGGAACGTTCATGATGGTCGGCTACCTCAGGACCAACTTTCAGATCCCCAGAAATACGCCGCCATTACAAAATTCCCCAGTGTCTTGGACTATCTGGGATACGTCTTGTTCTTCCCCTCCCTCTTCGGCGGCCCCTCGTTCGAGTACGTCGACTATCGCCGGTGGATTGACACCACTCTGTTCGATGTGCCGCCCGGTACAGATCCGTCCAAAGTGCCTCCGACTCGGAAGAAGCGCAAGATTCCGCGCAGTGGCACTCCTGCGACCAAGAAAGCTCTGATGGGCTTAGGGTGGATCTTGGTTTTCCTGCAACTGGGCTCCGTATATAACCAGGAAGTGGTTCTTGGGCGGCAGTTCTTGGAGTACAACTTCATCCGGCGGGTCTGGACTCTGCACATGTTGGGTTTTACGGCCCGACTCAAGTACTATGGAGTGTGGTCCCTAACGGAGGGGGCCTGTATCCTGTCGGGGATGGGATACAACGGCTTCGACCCAAGGACTGGCAAAGTCTTCTGGAATCGGTTGGAGAACATCGACCCATGGGCCCTTGAAACCGCTCAAAATTCGCATGGCTATCTGGGTAGCTGGAATAAGAACACCAACCACTGGCTTCGAAACTATGTCTATCTGCGAGTGACGCCGAAGGGTAAAAAGCCAGGCTTCCGTGCTAGCCTGGCCACCTTTGCGACTAGCGCCTTTTGGCATGGGTTCTATCCCGGGTACTACCTGACCTTTGTTTTGGGATCATTTATACAAACTGGAGCCAAGAGTATGCCCCCCTCCCTTTGCCCCATATCGAACGGACTACTGACCTCCTGCCAGACTTCCGCCGCTATGTTCGACCCTTTTTCCTCTCTCCAGATGGTCAAAAGCCAGGTCCCTATAAGCGATACTACGATATTCTGAGCTGGCTGGTGACGCAGATCACGCTTTCATTCACCGTGATGCCCTTTATCTTCCTATCCTTCAAGACCTCCATCGATGTCTGGCGGAGTGTGTATTTCTACGGAATCATCGGCAACGTCGCATTGTTGGCATTCTTCGCTAGTCCCGCCAAGGGCTATCTCATCCGAAAGCTGAAAGTCCGTAATAAGCCTCAGATGACGCGCACAGAAAGCACAGAAAGCATGCATCAGCCCACCTTAGGGCTCCCAAGCGATGCGATACAAGAAATCGACGATGCTGTCCAAGAGATTCGGTCTGAGATCGAAGCCAGACGGCGGCGTGGAAGCACTGTCAACATGCCTATTGGCGAGGAGCTGAAGGCTGCAGTGGAAAGTAAGATTGGTCGAAAGTTTTAAGAGGGGGGATTGGGCACGCCTGAGGAAGAACAGATGGAAGATTAAGGGAGAGTGTTAGACTGTTGATCGGCTAGTGTTTTCTGGCATTAGGTCTGTCGGTTTAATACTTGCCAATATTGTTGTTCAGAAACCTGGAGGGTCCCGAAGACAAGGCGAGTTTCACTCAGTTCACCTTCCTTGAAGCACTTTATATATATAGCTGCTCAATACTCATCACTAGAAAGAATTCTGCAAGTCGAAGCCAAAAAATAAAAAATAAAAAATAAAAAAGCAGGTATATGTATTTTGTATGTATAATGTTTCTGGTACAAGATGGTCCAGATAATGGTTTAATAAATACAACAGGAAAAGGAAATTGACAAAAAGGAAATAAAAAGACAATAATAATAATGGCATATATCCATGAAGTGTCGTAGACCTTGATGGACCAATTGTTTCCCCCAAAGGTTGGGAATAGTCCACATTGAAAAACATCGCGATCAATTAGTGGGATCAATTGTAATCAAGGCCAATAACAAAAGAAAAATAAAGGGACAAACAAAACATTATACACATTATGTCGTATCGTCGTGTCGAGTGGTTCTGAAATAATATAACAAGTAATCAAAGAAGTGAGGAAGGGGGGAAATAATAAATCAAGGTATCAAGAGGCGCAGCACGAAAGATAGGGTATAGGCGAAGCGAGCAGAAAAAGAAAACAAAACAGGAGTTGCCTGCGGGGGGGTAATTTGAAAAACCCTTCAGTCTGATCGACTGGCGGATATTCAATCCTAAAATCCCACCTTTGTGCCGACAACGGCCAGTACAACCTGCAAGGGGTCAGTCAAGGCCAGAATCTAGGTTTTAGACTAGTAAAAAGGGTGAAACTCACGATGACGATGATGATCACCAGGCCCACGGGATTCATCCATCGGTTTAGGTTCCTCCACCATCGCGCATTTTCATGTCGTCTGCGCTCAATATCAAGAAGTCGCATTCGAAGGGCTACTTCGAGCTCCGGTTCACCTTGCTCCTCCTCTGTCATCTCCGGTTTGGGCGGCAAGGGGAGAAAAGCCGCGATAAGCCAAGCTTTAAACTGAGTCAGTCATGAGGAATTTTGGCATCATTCAAGCAACATACCAAACGGGAAAACAAATCCCAGACAGAAGGACCAAACTTGAATGTTCCTTCGGCCAAATAGCGGTTCTGTCCTGGAATCCAAGGAAGGAGCGCCCCAGGCACCACCTCGTTGACGAACGGTGCGTCTATCAGGAAACAAGTGAGGAGACCAGCTATGCCGTAACTGTTGCCGAGAGCTCCCGGGCCGCTCATCCTCTGGGTTCCGAAGCCAATGACTCCTGGGATCACGCGGGTCGGGTCCCCACTGCACGCTCTGGCGAGTCTCGTTGGTGCGAGTTCTTTGCCGATTGACAGCGGCAGACATTCGTTCGAACGTGGTGAGCTTGGATCGTGCCGAGGATGGGCGAGCGCCGTCCGCTAGAGATAGAGAGGAGTTGACATTCTGGCCGCCATCATGACCATAGTACATCCGGGCCCAAGTGGGGAGGATGTTAAAAGAAGTGGGTGGTCGCGTAGTGCTCCGAAAGCTACTTTGCCTTGATTCCGAGGAAAGACTATGGTGGAATCGTGAGTGCTTGGCGCGGGCCGGGAGGTTGGTGACATTGTCCATATGCTCGTCATTGTCCACATCATTTACGAGCCATAGCGAAGATGACGTGGGTTTTTGGCGTACAACAGCTGCTGAGGGTCTGGATGGCTCCTGTGCAATTTCCAGTTCGTCTGCTGGTGTAGGGGACCTTGAGTCATACTCAGCGGACCATCGGGACGTAACAGTTGAGAGATGGGATTTGAAGTGGCCAGATGAATGATCTGCCGTAGTAGGTTCCTGCTGGTTCTGATCTGGCAAGTCGGAAATGTTGGTCACATCAACCCTTGAGCTTGAAGACGAGGGCTCGCGAATGGTGGGATACTGGACAAAGATCCCACTGTCCGCAATCCCTTGGATATCAGAAGGCGGGTCACTCCGAGATGAAGTAGCGGATCGAGAATGACTCCTCTCGCGAAGGCGAGCTGAGGATGAACGCACGGACGGCACATACGGATGAGCCGGGTTAGATCGGAAGGAATGGGATCGCGAGCTTGACTGCTCCGAAGAAGAGCCATGCGCCCACGGGGCAGCCCCCGCATATCGAATCACGGTTCCCAACGAGTTGAGCGATGATAGCGAGTTGGAGCGCGAGCCAGAGTCGGGATTTGAGGAAGCACCAAGAGGAATGAAGTTTAGACTCGAGCTATCAAGCGCAACGAAGTTGGGGCTGGAGGGCGGTCCGATGGGAACAACGTTCGGACTGGAGTTACTCGAAGTTGCATTTTCCGGTTGGGATGTCTGTCGGGAGGAGAGATCGGAGGCAACAGTTTTAATGGTCGGGACTGCGGCAGGTCTCGCGATCGGCTCCTCGTCTGAGTACGCGGTGATGGATCCCTCATCGAAACGGCGATCGATCGATTTGTGCTGTTCCGGAAGGTTCGGCTCTGGGAAAGACGATTTACTAGAGCTGGGATCATCTTCCCATACCTGTGACGGGGTATTCGTGGCGTCAAAGGTCGAGTTCGCGGCGTCAAAGGTTGAGGACAAGTCCCATGGATCGCCAATGGATTGATCAATCAGACTGCTGTCGCCAACATGGCTAATGTCTGTAGACAGAGTGCCGGTAGATTCGTGGGGCGCCTCGTCAACATGGAATCTAGAATCCGGAATAAATTCGTGTCCCTTCCCTGGTCGTGGCAATAGAATGTGCTCCGGTTTGGTCGGATACGGTGTGGCGGTATAGATATCGTCTTCGTCCGATGTATTTGGGCCAGAAACAACGCGCAGAGATTCGGGTGGTGACGTCTCATTCGTCTGGGAAGGCGTTCGCTCATGGAGAGCCCTCCGCCCGGGAGACGAGCTGGCTGACGGTTCGAATGAGCGCATGATGTTCGAATGAAAACTAGTTCATGGTAAATCAACCCGACGACAGAAATATTAGGCAAGGTGGGGATTGAAATGGCCTCAACAGAGGTTGTTCGGGGGTTAAAAAAGAAAGAGAAAAAATAAATTGGCCCGAGATTAGGTAGAATCGAAACTAGAAGTGATAAACGATCATCGATCAATGGCGGCCTGGGCCAGAGTGGTGGGGAAGGCCAAAGTAGTGGGAAAGAGAGAAGAAGAATCAAAACAGAGAACCGGAAGAAGTATAGTCTATGAAGAAAACGATCAACAGCTTTTGTTGTGGTTGTTTTGTTGCCGTGGTCGATAATTCTTGTGATGCAATGAGGAATGCCTCGACACAAACGATGTCAAATGAGCGACAACAACGGTAAATGAGCGTGGATCCGACGGCAGAATAATCGTGAATACTCCGGCTATTTGGGTCAACGAGTCATGCCAACCGACGAACGAGAACTGGAAAAGCGCGAAAAGGAGGAAAGAGCGTCAAGCCCGAGATCAAAAAAAAAAAATAGCACCAAAAACACGTTTCTAAAAGAGCGACTAAAGGCAGAACGACTGGAAGCGCAGAATCCAAAATCTGAAACGAACCAGCGTGCAAGCCGGGCCTCGCCGTAATATTTAAGGATATTTAAGCGGCACCGGCATTCCGTTGCTTAGCGGCGGTGTGCGCTGTTGGCCTGGGCTCTGGGGCAGGAACTAAATCCATCCAGGGGGCATGCAGCCTGCACGCTCTAGACTGGTAGAGTGCTATTTGAAACCGTTCGATTGGCGGAGGATGAAAGGGGGGAAGATTATCCTGCAGTTCGTCGCTTATTTCGGGAAGATTTGCCTTCGCTTTTCAGGTGCGAGATAGAGTGAGTGGCTGCTCAGCCTGCGAGGAATCTGAGTCCCTCGCTATTATTATGATTCTTATTAAGGCATGATCTCCGGCTTCTAATGACACCCGTCGGCGATAGGCCCTGCCATCGTCATCAGGACGAATCGTTCGGTACTATACTCCGCATTGGAGTAACGGACGAAGAAAGTTCATCTGGCCGGATTCCCCTCAATTTGTGGAGGGTATGATCAAGAGAACATTGGCCAGGGGTTCGACGATCTAGAATATATACCCCTCCAGGCTACTCCGGAGTGAAACTCGACTCTTCAAGTCCATGATATCGGATATCCTCTAACGTTGGACCGGCGGTTAGATTGAGCGACTCAAAACGAGCGAGGATGCAAGGTCCCTCCCAGGTGCATATGGAGTGCGCGTACTCGGAGCACATGCTCCCTGCACGTAGTACGGGAGTACGGAGTATGTACAGTACCTTTGCACCATGTTGCATATTCCCATCTAATATCACATTATTGATTATTTCTGGGGCTTGTCCACTCGTTGGTATCCACGAGGACGCCGGTCGGATTTGTGACCGAGCTCGCCGGTGGAGTTCGAGACCTCGAGGGCCGAGGGGAAGACGGAGGAACCTGGCCATGAACCAGAGATCGATCCACTTGGGCAATGTGGCTTGGGGGGGATAAAGTAGGTCGAGGCTCCAGAGCATCTCATTGGTTTTTTCCCTCCTTTGCTCCATACACAGCCCAATAATAACTGGGCAGAAATTCGGGTGACAACTTGAGTTGACCCCGTTCAGGATCACCCAATGCTGCCAAGTGCCAACTCAGCAGAAGTGGAGTCTGTCAACTTCCTTTCAAGTCTTTAACGCTCAACTTACCATTATTGCTTGATCCTTGGGACGTAATTTGAGGGGAAATCGTCATGTTGCTGCATGTTGCATGCCATGCTAGTATTATCATAAGTGCTTAATCGCCTGAGAGGAATTTCAAGATTGAGGCTATTGGGCCAAGCAAGGGCTCCATTGATAAGGGGTGTCTAATGATTATGTGTATGATGGCGATTTACTGTACTTGGAGTAGTACCTGTGCATACTAAAAGTAGTACGTATGTGCGGAGTGGACTAAGGAGTAACAAGAATGGTGTATGTGATAGATGGACTCGATGTACAGGAGACGGAAGGAACGGAAGGGAAGGAAGGAGAAAATGAGTCTCGTGATCGATGACTCAGGATTTCCCTTTCGGGCCGTCGCGCGTCCTGGGTTCTTTCATGCCTGTAGGATCAGGCAGCGGCGGCGGTCCGGACTAAACCCTTTTCCTCGTTTTTCTTTGTCGTTGTCTTCATCAATCCATGAAGATCATCGTTGGGTTCGCTTTCCACCCTTTCGATGCTTCTCCCTCATTAGTCCTCGACGACGACCACTAGACTGGGTCTCATCCAACCGGACTCCAACCATCTCTCCGTTTAACCTATCTGCCCAAAATACAGCAGACAGGAGAACTATTTGACCCAAGCTGCCAATATCATGGCGCCTGTTAATATTATGGCGCGTCTCAAGTCCTTGTACTCGAAACATTATGGTAGGTCCGGAAACTCGGAAATTATGTTCGAATCTAACTGTTGGGCTTCAGATGAGCCGGTCCTTTCGGTCCAGGCAGCCGCTTGTTTTTCGGTAGGCTTTATTTCCTCTGGCCCTAGCGCGCGGGCATCTATACAAAAATAGCGCCGTCGAACTTCCATCCAGGGGAAATAAAAGGGGTTGCTCTTTCTCGGACCTTCCTTTCGTTCTCCTTTTGTGGATAACGGAGGAGAAAAATCGTCATTCTCGCTCCTGTCTCATAGCAAGAACCCACTAACCAAGGTTTTCTAGATCCTTCTAACCCTGATCTATGTGGTCCCGTTCTATGTTTCTACCACCACTCGGCCATCTCCTACCCTTAGCCGAGATACCCCATCGGTTATCCGGGCTAGAATCCGGGCTGTGACTTCTTCCTGCGTCATCAGCACCTTGGCCGTTTTCTGGTTAATTATCGCTAAAGACAATGCCCCTGTTTCGGAGGCCCTCAAGCTTCTAGGATGGTGGCCTGTCGGCGTCCTGGAAATTGCTCGTTCCCTGGCACTTACGGCCATCCTCTTTACCGGGCCCCTATTCGAACGGGGGATCGCCGAAGATGAATGGAAGGACTGGATCAAGGGCCGTAGGGTTTCCGAAACACTTCGCGGCTGGATTGGGTGGAGAAACTACGTTGCTGTAAGCTGGTTCCATGGGCTCGGAATTGATTCTTTTTACTAATGGCGAGATCCAGGGTCCGATCACCGAGGAGATCATGTTCCGTTCGGCCATCGTGCCTCTTCATCTACTTGCTAGAGTGTCTCCGGGTCGTATCGTTTTCATGGCCCCTCTTTACTTCGGGATTGCCCATGTACATCATTTCTACGAGTTTCGCCTGACTCACCCTGACACCTCGATCATTGCGGCGATGTTCCGGTCTATCTTTCAATTCAGCTACACCACCATCTTTGGTTGGTACGCCACCTTTATCTATCTGCGAACTGGATCCCTCCCAGCTGCTATTCTCGCCCACGCCTTCTGCAATTGGTGTGGCCTTCCTCGCTTATGGGGCAGAGTTGAGGCCGTATTGCCCATCGATCCGCCTCTAGTCAAAGTTAAAGAAAACCCAGACCGGCATATATTATATGAGTATAGACAACTTGCTGTTGGATGGAGTGTTGCGTACTATGCCCTTCTAGTAGGGGGTGCCGTTGGATTCTATTATGCGCTGTGGCCCTTGACCATCTCAAGCAATGCTTTGGTTTCCTTCACCCCTAGGTGATTTATCAATCAGGCAGAACGGAAGAATATATTTCTATATGAAACCCCCTCAGATACTGCTGAATATTTACGGCATCCTATTCAGTCTCCACATCGATATCGGCGCGCCTTGGTGGTTTGTGGTTTTAGGGAAACTTTGATGCTTTGCGGAGAAAGTAATGATAATGAGGTATTATATGTACAAATTTCTTTAATTGATATAAGTATAATTTGACAATCATCAACATGTGACACCTAGGCAACTATAATGGCCAAGTTAGGGACCTGCTTAATTATCTATACTCTGTGCAGATGGTAAATGTAAACATCCTACCCAAAATGTACTGTATGACCAATCCGACCAAACTCCGTTATCTCCGACTCCGCCTCGGAGACTCGGACTTCCTCGCCTGGATTTCGATACTACATGCGCATCCTTTTAGAAGTCGACCCCGTTGTTTGTAGTGAAAAGGCCTATAACGAGCGAAATTTTGGTCATCTACTTTTTTCTAGGGCCTGAAAAAGCGTGGAGCTTCACAACTCATGAAAGTGCGCTCGACACACTGCTGTTTGCCCAAACTCGGGTGCAGCAGAACATCGCTAACATCCCGCTTTTTCTCGACCACCGCATATCGGTCAGCACCGCGACGAATCCCTCTGGATATACCTCTTCCGTTTCCCGTGACAAAATCCTGCCCCGAGTCGACATGCTCGTGTCCTCCGACCCCGTCGATGCCCGAGGGGCTACCGCTTGACCATAATCAACCATTGAATGGAACAATGGCGGCCTATGCACAACAGATCCTGATCTGTACCGGACAAGGAGATTGGACAAGTCGCATTGAGGACGATGGGAAGAATCAAGGCTGGGGAGAACTTGCGAGGGGTTTGAAACGTCTGATGGGCCGTGGGGGGCATTATGCCGACGTGAGTTGCCCGCAGGCGATCGTTTGCGCATGACTGACAGTTTCAAGCCATTCAACAACATCTTGGTCAGCAATTCTTCTTTTCCAGCAGCTCCAGCATCAGAGAGTACTTCGACCTCTGCGTCAGCGTTTCTGTTCCCTTCGTTCACGTATTTCCCTTCCATTCCCGTCAATGTGCCGGAATCGCCCGAGGCAGTGACCGACCTTTCGACCTTTGTTCGCGCCTTCCTTCTTCCTCGAAAACTCAGTGCGATGGCGGATTCTCTGCCTGAATCTCGACGGGCGGAGTTAACTCGCAATCCGGAACTAGCAACGGAGTTCTCGGGTGCTGTCGATATTCAGAAATCTCCGGTGGTCTTGATTTGCGGTCACGGCGGCCGTGATATGCGATGCGGCATCATGGCGCCAGTCCTTCAAGAAGAGTTCCGTCGGGTTTTGCTGGCCAAAGGGTTCACGTCGGTGATTAGTGACAGTCACATAATCGACAGCCCTGAGCACGCCCACATTGGACTCATCAGCCATATCGGTGGGCATAAATACGCTGGAAACGTGATTGTGTATATCCCGCCCGGAATGTTGCTCGAGGGTTCATCGGTGCCGCACCCGCTGGCGGGTATGGGCATCTGGTATGGGCGCATCGAACCCAGGCATGCGCAGGGGGTAGTGGAAGAGACCATCTTGGGTGGCAAGGTGGTGGTAGACCATTTCCGTGGTGGAATAGATCGAAATGGGGGTATTCTGAGACTATAGAGAACATGGGCGGAATTTGAGTGTACTATATATTGGAGAATGTGTGTACTATTGTCTCAAAATATATTATCATAGATCACGGGTTATCAGGCGCCCGCATTCTCGGAAATACATTGTTATTGACTGGCGTTGTGATGCTGACTCTCGCTAGCCACCCAAGTCTCCAACAAGGTGTGTGCCGGTTCCCTTGGAAGGTCCCTAGGTAGGCATACCACACCGCTGCTTCTCTCTACAACTGGAGAACTTGGAAAGTTCGACACGAATGTGGCCATTTAAGTATTATAGACTAAAAATGTGAGGGATACATAGCCTAAAGACACATAAAATCTAGCGAGTGGGAGGTCTTCCCTGGCTCTTGATGGGTGATATGTTCCCTCCGCAAACTCATCGTAGCCTCTGAGCCATCAAATACTCATAGTCCGGCATAGCCTGTTCCACACAATCGGCAAGGATAGCAGCAGCGTCTTCCCCAAATTCCTTCACCCACTTCGTTTTTTCCAGCTCCAGATCGACCGTGTCGGGTGCCTTCTCCTTCAGCACCCCAGTCGCCTGGTTAATCGAGCGACTGTAGACTTTTCTCAGGATACGATCATCTTCCGGTTGGGACCTTGTGTCCCATTCCGTCAGGACTTTAGATGGGTCCAAGCCCAAGGACGTAGCCAGTCTGGACACGAGACTGGGGTCGTCAATGAGGTCTTTCATGCCGACGATGATTGGATCTGCCGGGGTCTCGTGGGTTTTGTTTTCTTGGGCGTATGATCGGTACCAGTCGTACAGGACACGCGAGTAGGAGAGGGTCATCCAGGATCGCATCAGCTCCCCTCTCCAATTTTCAGGATCCTGGAGTCGAAGTTCAAGGTGTCCACGGAAGACCGAGGGGAAAGATAAGGCTGGGTGTCGGACAGAGATGACCACCCGCGAGGATGTGAGGCATTCAACGGGGAGGATTGTTGGATTTGTCGCTGCTGCTGCCGCTTGATGGGCGTCTTCGCCGGGCTGTGGCAGTATGGCGTCGAATATGTCATGGCTCCGTTTCACGCGAGCATCCAGACGCCAGATAAATTGAGGGTGGTCTTTGAAGAAGAGGATCTTGTTATCGGCCTCCGCGGCGGCCCTCCGTTCCAGAAGACTGTTGGTGAAGAAACGAAAGCGTTCCATTATTTGGTCTCTTTGGCTCTCGTTCCACTCCCCTACGGGTTTGCTAGCGCGGCCTAGCTCCTCCATGAGCATGGCAGCTTCGCAGTGCGTCGGTGCATGATTGTCGAAGTGGACATTAGGTTGATTTTCTATTCCGAGCATTCGCTGCAGTAGGAATGATCCGGTTCGCGGTTGAGAAAGGAGGAGAATGTGGGACGATGGCCCAGATTAAATGGAGTTGTGCTCCATTGGGAAGATTGGTACTCCGTAGAAGGTTCTCTCGGTAGCCTGAGAAGTATAGGTTATAGAACGAACAAGAAATTGGTTGGTATGGACCCTGACTATATATACTGACAGTTGGGCACTGACAACGTAAGCAAGTGATATTGTTCATCACTTGTAGATACGCGTCCGTTCTGCACTGAAAGTCCCTTGCATGCTACTAGTTGGGCAGGCTTGCAAGGCCTAGTACTCCGTATCACCGGATCGATTGAACCACACCGCATGGAAGAGCGAGACTTGCCTCAGCGAGCTCAGAACAGGTCTCATACCACTTGTGCAAGTCTGAGGGAGCCAGGGAAAAGATGGACTTAGCGGTGTGTGGCCTCTCCTGGCTGGGTAATGGGTGTGTGATATCTTCTCCAACCTACCTATACCTTTGATCAACGCTGCATATGGACCATGAGAGAATGCGTCCACCCAGTAAGTATTGGCGTACGACATCTGCTAGCCTGTTCTGACGGAAGGATATATATTCCGTCAATGGAGTCCTTCATTTCCATAGGCGAGTAGTTTTCTAGCACTTCCAATTCAATAACTATGACTAAGTCTGCGTGCAATAAGCATAACCTCGACGATCAGCAATATATGTCTACCGCAGAGGTACATACCTACTCCGTAAAGGTGTAGATACCCCGTACTTTGATGCCTGATGGAACGGGCACAATGCACTAGTCCTCATTGGGACTAAAGGCCGTATGACCTCAACCGGCAATTTAAGATTAATGTTGATTGAAAATCGACCGCGTCAACCTTGCAAATAGAGCACGCCACTCTTTGTATCCGATGACACGATGATTTGACTGCCCAAATGCAATCCCTTAGCCGCCTCCAATTGAGCTCGACTCGGGCGCTTCTTGCGCCAGCACGACGGAGATGCGGTTATCGTCCTTCCCCATTCCATGCCCTTGCTCGGTTTGCGACGACAAAGTCCTCCGGCCCTACCTCCGGAAAACTCGACCTCCTAGCGATCGATAGAAAGTGGCAGGCACAATGGCAATTGGAGGGACAAAATGCTACTGGCCGAACGGACACGACCGACGATCGACCAAAGTCCTACATTCTGTCCATGTTCCCGTACCCGTCCGGCACGCTACACATGGGCCACTTGCGAGTGTACACGATCTCGGATGTACTGGCACGCTTTTACCGAATGCGCGGTCACGATGTCCTGCATCCCATGGGCTGGGATGCCTTTGGACTTCCGGCGGAGAATGCGGCCATTGAGCGAGGAATCGATTCGGCGGAATGGACCAAAGACAATATATCGAGGATGAAGGAACAGCTTCGAAGCATTTCGACGTCGTTCAATTGGGATAGGGTATGTTCGGCATGTTTGGCCAGGTCTGGTCGGTCCGCTAACTCCTATACTATAGGAACTGGCAACTTGTGCGCCGGAGTTTTACGAGCACACGCAGCGGATATTCCTCATGCTCTACAAAAAGGACCTTGCATATCAATCAGAAGCGCTCGTTAATTACGACCCAGTTGATAAGACTGTGCTGGCGAACGAACAAGTAGACGCCAATGGATTCTCATGGCGATCTGGCGCAAAGGTCGAGCAGCTGAAGCTCAAACAGTGGTTTTTCCGCATCACTGCGTTTAAAGAAGCTCTGTTGAAAGACCTGGACTCTCTGGCAGGCGGGTGGCCGGATCGCGTACTCTCAATGCAGCGCAACTGGCTGGGAAAATCGCATGGAGCCAGGGTCACCTTCCCGGTGATGAGTGCTGGGACGGAAGTGAACGTGTTTACCACACGACCCGACACACTCTACGGGGTTGAATATCTTGCACTGTCTTTGAATCATCCGATCGTCCAAGCCTCGGCGGAGAAGGACGCCGAATTACAAAAGTTCTTAGAAACGGCTGCATCGTTGCCCCCGGACTCCAAAGCTGGCTACAAGCTGACCAACGTCACTGCTTCTCATCCGTTGCGCATCATCGATAAGGAGTGTCCTTATATCACCCGCGAGCTGCCCATCTTTGTGGCGCCCTACGTTCTCGGCGACTACGGCGAAGGAGCCGTGATGGGCGTTCCGGGCCACGATGCCAGGGATTTGGCGTTCTTCACGGAGAATGTGAACCCCGAATATATTCCGATTGTGATCGGGCCAGAGCGCTCGGCTGGAACCGACCGTGCGCCGGAAGAAAACGTGGCGCCTGCGAGCGACGCGAAGGCTTTCATTCAAGAAGGCTATCTGACGTCGAGATGTGGCAAATACCATGGCCTCCATTCCCGTGAAGCCGGGAAACAGATTGTCAAAGACCTTCAAAGTGTCGCTCACGGTCAGGCCGTGGAACAGTGGAGGCTGAGAGACTGGCTCATCAGTAGACAGCGTTATTGGGGCGCACCGATCCCCATCATCCACTGTGGCAAGTGCGGGCCGATTCCTGTACCGGATGACCAGCTTCCGGTTCAATTGCCCAAGATAGGCGGAGAATGGTTGAAGGGGAAGAGGGGCAACCTTCTCGAATCATCGGATGAGTGGGTACACACCGAATGCCCAAGCTGCAATGGTCCTGCCAAGCGAGATACCGACACGATGGATACCTTCGTCGACTCTTCATGGTATTATCTTCGATTTCTGGATTCGGCCAACAAGGAAAAACCCTTTTCGCCTTCATCCGTGCGACCAGTGGATGTTTATATCGGCGGAGTTGAGCACGCCATCCTGCACCTCCTCTACGCTCGCTTTATCTACAAATTCCTCTCCCAATCCGAATTGTTCCCGGAGCTGGCGCGGACGGGCAACCTTGCCGCCCCCGCCGAGCCTTTCAAAACGCTCCTCTCCCAGGGTATGGTGCATGGCAAGACATATTCAGAGCCCTCCACTGGCCGATTTCTACTGCCTTCCGATGTAGACCTCTCAAGTCCGGACAAACCGGTCATCAAAGGCACCCAGATCCAACCCAATGTATCTTTCGAGAAAATGTCGAAGAGCAAGCACAACGGCGTCGATCCGACTGCGTGCGCCCTGAAATATGGCGCGGACGCCACTCGCGCCCATGTGCTATTCTCTGCGCCGGTCAGCGAGGTCCTCGAGTGGGACGAAACGAAGATCGTGGGCATAGAGCGGTGGTTCGGTCGACTGTGGAAGGTTGTGCAGGATACGCAGCAAAGTTTGATTTCGTCCGAATATGCGGTGAATCCAATCGGCCCTGACCCCCTTCCCGACAGCTTGCAGAGCCTCAGCGATAGTGACGCCAATGCCGTGCTTGCGACCCATCGGACCATTGTCTCCGTCACCAACTGCATTGAAAACAACCCCTACGGACTGAATACCGTCATTTCCGACCTGACGAAGCTCACAAACTCATTAGTGTCGTCGACGCCCACCTCGCCCCAAATCTCCTATCTGTGTACATCCTCTCTTCTCCGTCTTTTGGCACCCGTTGCCCCGGCGCTGGCGTCCGAATGCTGGGAAATTCTTCACCGCGATTCGATGGGGTCACATGCCGAGAATGACGGTCGCCGAGCTCACGTGCCGGCGGTTTTTGACGGTGGATGGCCAACGCCGCCCTTGAGCTCGCAGCAGGCCGATGCGCTGTCAGCGCGCGGGGGTCAAGTCGTGGCGGTCCAAATCAACGGGAAGATGCGGTTTACAGTCACGATTCCCCGACGGTTGTCGCCCACCACGGTCGCCGAACCTCGCGGGAAGGCTGGAATCGCCACAGACGAACAGGACTGGATCATGTCGCGAATCCTCGAGACCGACGAAGGGCGTGTTTGGCTGCGCGAGAGAAACGACTGGGAGAAGCGAAGGCGGGTGATCGTCGTTCAGGGCGGGAAATTGGTGAACATCGTCTTCTAGTCCCGGCGCGTGGACTGTCGCATGAGTGGCGCATCGCATGTACAACCAGCTAAATTTCGTAACTATAGAATAAATGTATTATAGATTTTCATTAAAATGCAACTGCGATGGTCGCGACCTCGTCCGGCGTGCGCAGAGTTCATTAGAAACCTCGCGATCGCTTGAGGGGAAAGACCGTACCCCAGAGATCTAGATCCCTCATTTTCATCTGACCTGTCCAACTCCGAGGAAAACACCTTCCCGAACAATTGGGGATCAATTGGAGGCGTTCAATGGCTCGCATGATGTGGCAGCATTGGGAAGGACAAGGTGGGGGGAGAATAATTTCCCCTCATGGGCGACCGGACCTTGGTGGCTAGCGTGAGACTGCGACGAGGTCCTGTAGGCTGTAACATGCCGATTCACGAATGAGGGCGACCGAGGGGGAGGAGAAAGGGAGGAGAGGGCGAAGAAGCGGGTCTTGGATCGATTCTCTGTCTTCGGTGGAATCACGGCTGAAAGTCGGATCAACCCCCCATGTATGTCTGGACGTTCAACGCCAGTGACCGGTTCTGGTGAATGTTTTATGGAAATCCATGATCCATCGGGCCCGTCCACTGGATCAAGCTTAACATCAGTGCCAGGTTTAGCTCTCGATGGGGGGAAAGCATTGAGTTGGGCCCCAAAGCCCCAACCTAGATAGCAAGCTGCATGGCACCACTCGCGAGGATTCAGACCCGAGATCGGCTGGTGCGGCAAGGCGACTGCGTGTCGGAGGAGCATCCGCGATCCCAGGACCGTCTGACCTTGCCAGGCCGATATTATTATTAGGCTCAGAGTGGGTTCTCGATCGACTTGATGATCCCCTCATTCCCCGCACGAGGGGTAATCAGCCCAGCCCAGGAGTATTGAGTGCTGTACTGCGACTGCGTCTAACGGATTCTAGGTAAAAAAATCAAAAAAATCCTCGGCATGGGAGCCGGCTTTGCGTGGGAGGAGTTCAAAGGAGGTGGACATCTCTAGAAATCCAGATGATTCCCTCAGATAGTAAAAATAAGAATAGGATCCTAATGATACTGGTCTCCCCGCATTTGGTACATACGTAAACGCCTGCCCGCACTAGCGGCGTGGTTAGTCAGCACCATCTAGAAGGTGTCTGTATGAGGGAACTTTCTCCTATGTTGTCTATTGTGTAGGTAGTAGTACCTACGGAGTATGGAGTACATAGTAAGTAGTCAGTAGACAGGACTACCTACCCAGACTAGCGCAATGAAGGACAACCCCCCATCCATCCGTCCACCGAGTCCCGCGTGCGGAGAAACTCCCCCTACCTTTACTCTCCGAGCTGCTCTCCTCCTCTCCTCTCCTCCTCATCCACTCTCCCTCGTCCCCTCCCCTTCCCACCTTCCCAGTATTCCCGCCCCTAAGCGGTGATATGAACTCGTAGTGGCGTCCAGTATCCAATGGTGGACCCTCCGTTGTCCCAGAGTAGTGACCCAGTATCCCATCGGATGGATGAACGGAATGTAGACGAAGTGCCCCGCGGAGGTGGCCTATTTATTGGGCGAATTTCCCTGCTCCTCATCGACATCAACATCAGTTTCATCTTCTCCCAAGAGTCTCCTGCATTCCGCATCCGGTAAGAAACTCCTGGTTGCTGTTCCCCACAGCATTACATCTGCCTGTCCTTGCTCTCTCCTCCTCTCCCCCGCTTGATGTCAAGCTTTCACCTCTTCCCCAATTAACGTCGCGAATTGGCATTCGACGCAATCCATCCCTCTGCGAGGTTTAAATAGTATGCTAATCCTCCTGTCAAGTGCTCAATCCTCGACTTCTCATCTCTCGCAATCAATCCAATCTCTCTCTACTTCTTCTTAAACACTCAAAATGGTATTTATGCGCTCTTTTTCCCGCCAACTACGGCGGCCTGCCACCTCGCTCCTGTCCGCCAAAGGATCATTCCTGAGGCCGACTGGCAGTCCTTTCCAGGCGCTCCCCGGGGTCAATTCTGTTGCTGGTGCACGAACGCTAACCGCCTCTGCGAGCTTACAGGGTAAAATTCTTATGGTCCTTTATGACGTAAGTCCCCGGTCATAAACTCCCTTGCGACCTCGTCATTAACATTATGTCTAGGGCGGTGAGCACGCCAAACAGCAGCCTGGTTTGCTGGGTACCACCGAGAACGAGCTCGGCTTGAGGAAGTGGCTGGAGGAGCAGGGCCACACCCTGGTCACCACTTCCGACAAGGAGGGCGAGAACTCGACCTTCGACAAGGAGCTGGTCGACGCCGAAGTCATCATCACCACCCCCTTCCACCCCGGTTACCTGACCGCTGAGCGTCTGGCCAAGGCCAAGAACCTCAAGATTGCCGTCACTGCCGGTGTTGGCTCCGACCATGTCGACCTGAACGCTGCCAACAAGACCAACGGCGGTATCACCGTCGCTGAGGTCACTGGCTGCAACGTCGTCTCCGTTGCGGAGCACGTTGTCATGACCATCCTGACCCTGGTCCGCAACTTCGTTCCCGCCCACGAGCAGATTGCCCGCGGCGAGTGGGACGTCGCTGCCGTTGCTAAGAACGAGTATGACCTCGAGAACAAGGTCGTCGGAACCGTCGCCGTCGGCCGTATTGGTGAGCGTGTCCTGCGTCGTCTGAAGCCCTTCGACTGCAAGGAGCTGCTCTACTACGACTACCAGCCCCTGAGCCCCGAGGTCGAGAAGGAGATCGGCTGCCGCCGTGTCGAGAACCTCGAGGAGATGCTCGCTCAGTGTGACATAGTCACCATCAACTGCCCCTTGCACGAGAAGACCCGTGGTCTGTTCAACAAGGATCTCATCTCCAAGATGAAGAAGGGTCAGTAGCCGGATAAAGCCCCCTCAACCCACCACACGGTGCAGGACTAACTTTTCATCCAGGCTCTTGGCTCATCAACACCGCTCGTGGTGCTATCGTCGTCAAGGAGGACGTTGCCGATGCCGTCAAGTCTGGTCACTTGCGCGGCTACGGAGGTGACGTCTGGTTCCCCCAGCCCGCTCCTCAGGACCACCCGCTCCGCTACGCCCAGCACCCGTGGGGCGGCGGCAACGCCATGGTGCCTCACATGTCCGGTACCTCGATCGACGCCCAGATCCGCTACGCCAACGGTACCAAGGCCATCCTCGACAGCTACTTCACCGGTCGTCACGATTACCGGGCCGAGGACCTCATCGTCAAGGACGGTGACTACGTCACCAAGGCGTACGGCCAGCGCAACAAGGCTTAGGCTTTTCGGTCGGACACGATTGAATGATGTTTCTACTTTTCTATTTTGGCGCATGTTTTATTGTCTGGGGACCATTTCAAAGGAAAAAGGCATTCCACAGTTGATCATTTTATGATACCTGACAAATTTACGAATTCACAAATAAAAGGTTTATCTTATTCATTTGATCCTTGAAAATATACTCTCGTAGTTGACGCAGCTGTTGCTCATCCCACCTAGTTTAAACTGAAGGTGTATGGTATCTACTTGGCCATGGAGATGACTTAGGCAATATATGGCGCTCTAAATGTAAACTCTTCATTGTCCGGTACAGCAAGAAGTCTGAACAGCGAGTAGTCTTACATAGGATGTTCAATGGATGAATGAGGTGATGGTTCGCAATTTGTCATTAGGGGTACCTTTGGTGCATGTGCTTGATTACTTCAGGGCCAATAGGCCATTTAATCGAAAATCCCCTACACTATGCTTGAGAAGCTTGTCTCCTGCCCAGAAGCTAGTCCGCTAAGCTTCAAACCGAGTGTAATGTACATGAAAGACGAAAGAGAAGACCGAAAGTGCCACCTGTCTATTTTAACCCATATACCGAACAAAAAACCAGGACTATATATACATGAGGGCTTAGAATGCTTGAAACGCCGTCTCAGCGGCGGTTGCCGGGACTCTCATCCTCGTCGCTGTCGTCCATGAACCCTTGCTCGAGTTCTCGACTGAGCCGGCTCTCTGGCTCGGCAGCCGTACTCTGTCGTCGTTCCAGCGCCTCCCTCCGCGTAGGATCCATGCCCATGCCGACCATCAGTTCTCCTTCCTCGTCTAGTATGCTGATGTTATCGTTGTGGTCGTCGAAGTGGGCCTGCTGTCGCCAGGATGCCGGCAGGAAGAACCGCATCATTGTATCGGCGATGCGATCTCGGAGCGTGGAGGTATGTGCCGAAATCGCATGCAGGGGAAGATACTGTGAATATCGTTGCTGATAGCGGCGGAAGAACGGGATGATCACAAATGATAGGAGAAGATAGAGCGATAGGGAGATGACGGCGGGAATGGCAATGGTCTGGAAGAATGCGCGGCAAAAAGTTAATATGGGCTTGAGTATGTACTGCATATATATCTGATTTCTACTGTACCTTGGCAAAACCGGATGCAGAGCCCATGCTGACTGACTTCTGGAGGACCCTCAGTCCACGTTGGGAATGTCAACCCGTTTGATACTTTGCGACTCCAATCCTCGCTTTCAGACCGGTGGGAGGACTTCAAGAAAGTACCCTTGGATTGAAGGCAAGGAAGCCAGGAAGAATGCCAGAGTTCAAGAGGGGTTGCGGCGGACAAGATGAATGGGGGGGGAGGTGGAAGGAGATGAAGCCGCAGTGGCTCAGCCAGTCCGTAGTAGTACAAGATCTGGTAGGCAGATAAATGCTGCGCCACGTGATCCCCGCCATGCCGCCGACTCTCTCAATTTCAGGGGAGGAAGTTGAGCAGCATCTCGGAGAAAAGAAAAATGATAGCACCTGTCCCCTTTTGCGCCCGCCGTGTAACTGTCCGTTTCGCCCGATCGGAGGCCGGCCACGTGATGCAAGGGCCGCGGCGACGAGGGTCACGTGCGGGCCCGGCGTTCTAGAGCCGCCCGCCTTGTCGCCCCCTAAACTATTATTATTACGATTATTGAATGGCCGTGCTTTTCTGAAGCGACACCAGGCTCGGCCTTCTAGAAATCGATACCGATCGTTGGGTCATCCGCGATCTGCCTGCACTGTGCGTATATCCCTTTCCGTCCTCTCTTTGTTTCTTTATCTATTTTTCCGGTGTTGGATCAGGGTGAGAGGCAGAAGAGACCAACCCCCCCCTCTCCGCCCTCTCGCCGCTCCGCAGCGGGTATTCACTAGTGCTGTTGGCCACGAGTGTCAAGGGCACCCGGTTGTGTGAATCGGCGGGAAAAATTCATCGCTGTGATTTAATGGAGTTGGAATCAAGCAAACTAGACGACCCGGGGGAGCTGACCATTTTCTAGAAATAGAACCTGACTGGCGACAAACAAAAGAGCTTGGGGTGGCTCATGCTTGCGTCCTGCATCCCCCCCCAGTGACGCCCGTCAAGATGCCAACCACCACGTCCGCACCTGACAAATCGAGACAGACCTCGGCTGGCAAATCGTTTTTCGGAAGGAAGCTGCACAAGGAACGACCGGTAGAGGACACTCACAGCGGAGGATTTGACAGTCTCGCGCCTCCCGGGAGTTCGGCAGGCTCCCGTTCGTCTCGACATTCGAAACGGTCTTCTGTCCAGTCGGTCGATTACCCCTACGATATCGATCCGGCCGGGCTCTCCATGACAGCCGGGGTCATCACATCCATTCCCTTTGAGAGTTTACCCGCAGATACCAAATCCCCCATCCCGGTCGATTATCTATCCAAAGCCGAGACGTCGCCACGAAAAGAGCCGTCACCACACCATCTTGCGAAAGGAGGCGGCGATTTTCACCAGTACCCAGCTTGGAATCCTACGGCCGTTCGAGACACCAATCAATATTCGCACCCCACCGGGCCCCGCCCACCACCGCATGGTGCGAACGTGACGATGTCTGGAAGTGCGACGGGAGATCGAGGGACACGCTATCAACAGTGGGGGGTACGACCGGGGAGCTCTTCTACGAATGTCGGACTCAGCCACAATTCGTCGTTGTCGACAGTAGATTCTTCCTCGATTTCACGCATGTCTCTGGACCAAGCCAGCATTCATTCATCGCTCTCCTCGAACACAAGAGGCTCGAGCTATCTTTCGTCCGACGGATCTGCGCGCACGCTTACAACCTCGCATTCGGCAGACCGCAACACTTACTTTCCCAATGGGAACCCTAGCAACAATCGACTATCCAATGCACATATGGCCTGGCAGTCCGCTCAACCGCCGCCGGCAGCCCAACCAAGACCGAACAATCCTGAACAGTACTTGACTCGACCGAGAGATGACCGCGTGGTCGACCAGCTTTTTCTGGAGTTGATGCAGAAGCGAGGATGGCAGAATCTCCCCGAGCAAGCCAAACGGCAAATGCTTTCATATCCCGCTTCGAAGAAATGGACCCTGGTTCACCAAGATCGGCTCACGGAATTGCAAGGAGAGCAGAAGCGGCGACAGAACGCTCGCCAGACGCACGGTCACGATGGCCCGTCGGGAATCCTGGAGCGAGCCGATGAAGAGGGGAGTCCGGAGTGGTACGTGAAGAAAGTCATGGACGACTCGATCACATCGAAACAGCTGGCCAGTTTGAGTGTCAGTCTTCGAACGCAACCGATTAGCTGGGTGAAAGCTTTTGTCGAGTCCCAAGGACAGATAGCGTTGACGAATGTGCTGGCCAAAATCAATCGTCGAAAGGCCTCGGGCCCTGTCCCGGCCCCTCCAACAGGAGACAAGGACTTGGATCGAGAGTACGATATTGTGAAATGTCTCAAGGCCTTGATGAACAACAAGTACGGCGCAGATGATGCGTTGTCGCACCAGCAGGTGATTGTGGCCCTCGTGAGCTCGCTATTGTCTCCTCGATTGAACACGAGGAAGCTGGTCAGCGAAGTGTTGACCTTCCTCTGTCACTGGGCCGAAGGGCACGGCCACCAGAAAGTTCTCCAGGCCATGGATCATGTCAAGAACCACCATGGTGAAACGGGCCGTTTCGACGCGTGGATGCGCATCGTCGAGGTCACAATCGACGGGCGCGGCAAGATGGGCAGCTTAGTCGGCGCCAGCGAGGAGTATCGAAGTGGTGGAATTGGAATGGAGAACCTTCTGATGGAGTATGCGGTCTCGACCATGCTTCTGATCAACATGCTGGTTGATGCGCAGGAACATGACGTGCAGCTGCGGTGTCACATCCGGGCGCAATTCATCTCGTGTGGTATCAAGCGTCTCCTGACGAAGATGGAGGGTTTCCAATATGAAGTCATCGACAAGCAGATCGAACGGTTCCGTGAGAATGAGGCGATCGATTACGAAGACCTTCTCCAGCGAGAGGGCAGCAGCATGAAGGATAGTATCGAGGGGGAGGTGAAGGACATGAGCGACCCGCTGCAGATTACCGATGCCATCGCATCCAAGATCAACGGCACTCGGGCACATGACTACTTCCTCTCGGCCATGCAACACATGCTCCTGATCCGAGAGAATTCCGGTGAAGATGGCCTCCGAATGTACCAACTGGTGGATGCGATGCTCAGCTACGTCGCCATGGACCGAAGGTTGCCCGACCTGGATTTCCGGCAAGGGTTGACGTTTACCGTGCAAAGCCTTCTGGACCGGCTGCACACAGATGCCGAGGCCAGGCAGGTATACGATGAGTCTCTGGAAGCCCGCCAAATCGCAGAGGCCGCGATTGCCGAACGTGATGAGATGAAGGCGCAGATCGAATTGGGAGCCGATGGCCTGGTGAAGAAGTTGCAGAAGCAAATCGACGAGCAAACCGGGATCATAGAGCTGCAGTCGAGACAAAACGAGATGGTCAAAGCCGAGCTCGCGGATGTGCAGAGACTCCGCGCACAGGAGCTGCAGCGCAATGAACTGGAAACTCGAGAGTTGTATCTGATGCTCCGAGATGCCCAGGACATCGCTGCCTCGAATGCGATGAAGAACAATAATCTTGCAGAAGATGATCCCTCGCAGATGAGGGGCATACTGGACCGCGAGAAGCTTCTGGGCCGGCTGGAAATGCAGCTGGAGCGGACCAAGACGCAATTTAAACTGGAAGGCAAGGTCTGGGGTCAGCACGGGCCGTCGGATCGACTGCGTGAATTGCGAGAACAGATGGACGGGGAGACCGGGCCGAACGAGGAATTCGAGGAGCACGCTCGTCGGAACCTGGACAGCAACGCTTTGGGATCCACCTACCGGAAGAGAAACCATGTCGCTGGTGGTGAGGGGCAGGAAGGGGACCAGGAGGTGGATGAGAACGGCGAAGTGATCTATGAGAAGGCGCGCCTCGTGGATCTCCAGCGACCCCGAATGAACCCCAATCAAGCGACTGGTCTCCTTGGGGAAATCACCTCTAAGGTGCCCAAATTTGACTCCGATGAGAACGACACTGCTCAAGTCGACGGTGAGGGTAAAGATGACAAGGCTGGAGACCAACCACCAGCCGTGGCTGCTCCTCCTCCACCACCGCCACCTCCACCACCTCCTCCACCGCCGCCTGGTCTACCCGGGGCTGTTCCTCCCCCTCCTCCTCCGCCTCCACCACCACCTCCGCCCCCAGGAGGAGGTGTTGGTATCCCTCCGCCCCCGCCGCCGCCTCCTCCGCCCCCTGGAGCGGGAGGTCTTATGCCCCCGCCCCCGCCCCCGCCTCCCCCAGGAGGTGCCTCGTTTGGTGCCCCTCCGCCACCACCCCCTCCTGGCGCCGGGTTTGGTGGCTGGCGTGCCAATTACATGGCTTCGCAAGGTCTTCCATCCAAGCCGTCAGCGGCTATGCCGTCTATCCGACCTAAGAAGAAACTCAAGGCTCTCCATTGGGACAAGGTTGATGCTCCGCAGGTGACTGTGTGGGCCTCGCACGACGCGACGCCTCAGGCGAAGGAGGAGAAATACACCGAGTTGGCGAAGCGTGGTGTATTGGATGAAGTGGAGAGGTTGTTCATGGCTAAGGAGACCAAGATCTTCGGTGGTGGCGCAGCATCCAAGCAACGCAAAGACAAGAAGCAAATCATCTCGAATGAGCTGTCCAAGACCTTCCAGATCGCGTTGGCCAAATTTTCACAATACCCTGCCGAGGAGGTCGTGCGGATGGTTATCCATTGCGACGCCGATATTCTCGATAACATGGTCGTCATGGACTTCTTCCAGCGGGATGAAATGTGCACGCTCCCGGAGAATATCTCTAAGACGATGGCACCGTACAGCCGAGACTGGACCGGTCCGGATGCTGCCAGCTCCGAGCGAGAGCAAGACCCGAGCGAATTGACCAGAGAAGATCAGATTTATCTGTACACGGCCTTTGAACTGCACCACTATTGGAAGGCCAGGATGCGTGCCCTTGCGTTAACACGCTCCTTTGAGCCGGACTATGAGCACATCTCCGCAAAACTTCAGCAGATCGTCAAAGTCAGTGAAACTTTGCGGGATTCGGTGTCCCTGATGAATGTCCTCGGTCTGATTCTGGATATCGGTAACTTCATGAACGACGCCAACAAGCAGGCCCAGGGTTTCAAACTTGGCTCTCTGGCTCGTCTCGGGATGGTGAAAGACGACAAGAACGAAACGACATTTGCGGACCTGGTCGAGCGAATTGTTCGTAACCAGTACCCCGAATGGGAAGGCTTCTACGACGAGATCAACGGCGTCGTCGCCATTCAGAAACTGAACGTGGACCAGCTTCGAACGGATGCCAAGAAGTACATTGATAACATCAAGAATGTCCAGGCAAGTTTGGACGCGGGCAACCTCAGTGATCCCAAAAAGTTCCACCCCCAGGATCGTGTCAGCCAAGTCGTCCAGCGCAGCATGAAGGATGCGAGACGAAAGGCCGAACAAATGCAGCTCTACTTGGATGAGATGATCAAGACATATGATGATATCATGGTCTTCTACGGTGAGGACAATGCAGACGAGGGCGCCCGGCGAGACTTTTTCGCCAAGTTGGCGGCGTTCTTGCTGGAGTGGAAGGTATGTTACGGAACCCCTGATCTTAGATCGTCAGCTAACAAGAGTAGAAATCCAAAGAAAAGAACATGACTTTGGAGGAGTCGAGGAAGCGGACCGAGGCGTCCTTGGCTCGCAAACGCATCAATGCTGGCCTGGCGAACAGTGCCAGCTCTACTACCGAGGCACCCCAGTCACCAGCCAGCAGCGGTGCCATGGACTCGCTGCTTGAGAAATTACGAGCTGCAGCACCTCAAGCCAGGGATCAACGTGATCGCCGTCGTCGTGCACGATTGAAGGAGCGACACCAGGTCCGGGTCGCATCAGGACAGAAGATTCCGGATTTTGCTGGGTCTGATGGTGTGGACACCGAGAAGAGTAATAACGCGGAAGAAGGCACCAGCAACACTGCAGACAACAACAACAACAATAACAATGCCGATGCCGATGCCACCGAGACTGGACTGCTGAGTCCTGCCGTTCCGGAATCCGATGCGGGCTCCACTGGCAAAGAGTCCCAGGTGTCCGAAAGCGAGGACGTGGCAGACCGTGCCGCAAGTATGCTCCAGGGCCTACGGGACAACGCCGATGGGGAGCGCACGCGAAGACGAAGAGAGACCGCAGAAGAGGAGCGGCGCAAACGCAGGCTACGAAGGCGAAATGGCGCCACCAGTGGAAGCAAAGACAGCGCCGACGGCTCAATCCTGTCCGGCGCACCCGAACCGATGTCACCTCGGACGGATACCATAGAGCCTCCTGAAAACATTCCGTCCAGTCCTCCAGCTGAGGACGATGCCGCCTCCCAGCCACCTCTGGCCCCGGCCATCATCGTCTCTCCTACGGCCGATCAGCACCTTCGCTCGCCGGGCAGCAGTCGCGGTGACGACGATCCTACCGATGGCCCATCGGGCTAAGCCGATGGTACTCCGGCTGTTCATCAATCGCCCCCTACATTCCTCTCTTTCCTAATATAATGTTTGATAGACCTTACTGATGTCGTCTCGGAAACATTTACATGTGGTTAAGTGTATAATATCCTTTTTGCCTAAGCGGCGACTTGCCTCACACTTTCGTCCTTCTCTATCCATTTTTCTTTTCTCTTCTATTTGCCTTTTTTGTTTCTTTCGCCATCTCCCTCTTTTTCCCCCTTTTCTTTTACTTTATTCTTCTTCTTCTCTCTCACCTGTCTACCTTTATTTTGTCTTCCGCTGTGATTCTTGTGCTTCTCGTGAACACATTCTCAGCCCGCTCAGTGTCACGATCTTTCCCTTCTCTTCAGCTTTTCCTTATCTACTCCTAGTCGACTTTTGTGGGCATTCGGTTTGATGTCACAACGCCTCATGCTTTCAAGCTCTTTCATTTGCTTCTGTTTGAGTTTTAATCTTTTTCTGCTCTGTACATAAATCCATTCTGGCTGTAGTGCCATTATACACGGTGGAGAGACTTGGGGCGGCGTCTTTCGGTGCGCGGGCGTGGCGAAGGGACGCCTTTGCGATTGGTAAATCCTCCATACATTCATCTACGTTCTATCTTCTTGTTTCTTCATGCGCGCCAGTAGAATCTCCCCGCCGTAGAGTCTCAAGGACACACGTGATCCGAGGATATCCATCACGTGACATCATGGGGCCCAATCATTGGCTTCCACTCTGCTTTCTTCTCGACTCACCTTTTAGATCTTCGAGATTCTTTGGATGTGATCGTTTCCGCTGAGTCCTGTTTCCCCCGCTCTTCCGCTATCCACACTACGCATGCGAGCATGCGAGCATTCGTGCTCCGCACTCTGCGGAGGGCGATACCCTCTCGCCCAGCTGCTCGCAGCTGTTTCTCCGCAGCGGCTCGGATTAGACCTGATGTCGTCCGCCGCCAGCTTCCTTCCATACCATGGCCCCGGGAATTCTCCGTCTCGATTCCCAATTGCTTCATGTTAGATGGGGAATCGACTATTTATGCGCTCTCGACGGCACCTGGTCGCGCTGCCATCGCCGTGGTGCGGGCTTCTGGCCCCGCCTGTGTTTCGGTACGCGTGAAAGATGCTCCCCGGGGCTGCTTCGCAAACGTAATAACAACCCCTCTAGATCTATCGAGCTCTATGCCCCAAGGCGCCACTTCCACGACCACGGGTTGCGGCAGTGCGCACCCTATATGATCCCACGGGAGATATCACTTCCAACCACAGCATCCTTGACTCCGGGGCATTGGTTCTCTACTTCCCCGGACCGAAGACAGTCACTGGGGAGGATGTTCTGGAACTCCATCTGCACGGCGGACCCGCCATTGTAAAAGCGGTCTTGACCGCGATCGCCAATACCAGCCGACCTGACTCTCTCATCCGATACGCGGAATCGGGCGAGTTCACTCGTCGGGCCTTCTTGAATAACCGGCTGGACTTGCCGCAGGTCGAGGCGTTAGGCGAGACGTTGACGGCCGATACTGAACAGCAGCGTCGTCTTGCTGTGCGAGGGACTAGCGATGCTCTGTCCAAGCGGTACGAGCAATGGCGACGACAACTTCTCTACGGACGTGGCGAGCTCGAGGCACTGATTGATTTTTCCGAGGACCAGCACTTTGACGAGTCCTCCGACGAGCTCATTCTCTCCGTCGCGTCGCAGGTGCACGCGTTACGGGTTCAGATCGGGCTGCATATTCAGAATGCGTCCAAGGGCGAATTGCTGCGCCACGGCATCAAGGTTGCTCTGCTGGGTGCCCCCAATGCCGGCAAAAGCTCCCTCCTCAATCGGGTCGTGGGAAAGGAAGCTGCTATCGTCAGCACGGAAGAAGGCACCACTCGTGATATCGTGGACGTCGGCGTCGATCTGGGCGGCTGGTATTGTAAGCTAGGCGATATGGCGGGCATCCGATCGGAAAGCAACCAAACCGGTCAGGAGTCAGTGGTGATCGGAGCCATTGAGAAGGAAGGGATTCGCCGCGCCAAGGCTCGCGCATTAGAGTCTGACGTGGTGATCGTGGTGGTCTCCTTGGAGGGAGGGGACCACGGCGCGGCACCGTATCGCCTTTCTGCGGACCCAGAGGTCATCGACGCAGCGAATGATTGTGTGCAGGCGGGGAAATGTCTCGTTGTCACCGTCAACAAATGCGATCGATTGCCCACGGTCGAAGACCACCGTCGCCGTGATCGACTGCCGCCTTTCCTGGCCGCCACGCTGGGCATCCTTTTTCCGGCGGTGCCGAGCTCGCGCATCTTTGGTATCTCTTGTCAAGAAGCGCAGGCGGAATTGTCGACGGATCAGACAGATCCGGGCCAATTGCAGGCTTTTCTTCGGGGGCTGATTGCAACATTCGAGGAGATTGCCTCTCCGTTGAACAGTGGAGGCGAGGATGGTGGGCAGTATGACATGTCGTATTGGGAGGACTCCCTGGGAGTAACTCATCGACAAAGCTCGAACTTACAACGATGCATGCAGCATTTAGACGATTTCTTAGCCGAGACCTCCGACGTCCAGTCACCCCCGTCGACACCTGGTAGCCATACGGAGACAGAGGTGGACATTGTCACAGCGGCGGAGCATTTGCGGTCCGCGGCCGACGCGCTGGCGAAGATCACCGGCAAAGGGGAGAGTGGAGATGTGGAAGACGTTTTGGGCGTCGTTTTCGAAAAGTAAGTGAACGCTTCAATCTGAGGAGGGTCTTCATATGGCTGACGGCAGGCAAGATTCTGTGTTGGAAAATGAGCCGCCAACGAAGCTATTGCATCGATGGACCCCATTCATTCCGTCCCTCTCTGACGCCCTTTCAAAGGGACCGTCCCAGAGAGGACCCATCGCAGACATCTGCATGGTTTATGAGTCCTCGTCGTGTAGGTCGTTGTAGCCGCCGCGTCCCTTCATGAATGACTGACGAGTGACGGATGCTAGAACTAGAGCAATGGATCAAACCTGGGGAAACTGCACGATTTGAAGATTGATGTGCGCCTCAATGGCTCGCGGCACTAGTCAGTCGTTCGGTCGATGAGGTATTGGAGTTAAAGCGCAGGAAAGATGTCGTTGGACAGAACCATTGATCGGATTAAAACAATCACTCATGAGGGGCATGGGGAGGAGAGTGTCTTAGGGACTGTATAGATAGAACCTGGATGTACAATAGTATTTATGGTATTCTAGAGACTTGAATTGTAGTTGAACGCCGAGACCTAAATAAAGAACCCAGCGCGATTGATGCCTGCCACATGACACAACCAGGCATCCACCGGCCGCAGCCCGCCTTGTCTGCTCCTTAACCTGTCTGCGCTTCAGCTGGCATGGTCTAGGAGAAGTAGCAGTCCTTTGCACTTTTCTCACTTTTCCTGCAGAGAATTGGGGCGGCGATGATGGTGACTCACCAACGCGACTAACGTCATTGGCTGATCCGCGAAGCTTCGAGGTCAGGTGTTAAACGCAGCGAAGAGTCATCCAGGAGGATTGAAGCTGATCACCAGTACCGCCCAGTTTTATGAACACAGGTGCCCTCGCAAGTTGACCCAGCTCTCTGTCCTTGTCCATTAATCTATAAGATGGAAGATAAATAATGTACACACATGTCTATACTATTCTACAGTCGTTTTGTCTCTTGAAGCCATCGATTATAGCTTCCACACAGCCCAGTCTTTCAAGTCGAGCTCTCGAATAATCCCAGTCAGCGGTCCTTGCAGCTCCATTCCCTGTGCCCATAGCTTGGGGCCGGCCATGTAGCCGATGAACCTCTCCGGGCCTGAAACTAGGATCATGTTGCGTGGGGGAGATCCGCTGGAGGAGGAACCCGACTTGGTGAATTCCAGGATGGCGTTTTTCTCAATAAATGCATTTTCATCATCGACATAATAGTCCACCGTGACCTGACCAGGATATTGGGTCTTGAGAGCCTCTAGCTCCCGGACCATGGGCGAGACATGGGTGGGAGGAGGCGCAGGGGTTGAAGTTGACGAGAGAGGAGACCCAGAAAACCAAGACCGCTGAGGTTTGGCTATCGTGGTATCGTTGACTCCACCGGCACAATCCTCCCGGCGGCGATTAGCCCACAAAATGTGAATTCGTGGCTTGTGAGTACTGCTGGTGCGGCGAAGCAGCGTGTATCCCGCCTGAAGAGCAGGGGCTATACCGGTGCCCCCAGCGATAAACAACACCTGCTGAGTGTCGGCCGGCACCGGACACTCGATCTTGGGTCCGCGGATTTCAATGGGAGTCCCTACGTCCAGACTATGCAGATACCGGGATACTTCGCCAAAGGGGTCTCTACGGATGAAAAACCGCAATTCGTCCTCGTCCTCTGTGCCGATCGATACGGACGGGAGAGGGGTATAGTCCCTTCCAATCTGCAATTGCGGCTGTTTGAACATCACGCTCCATACACCCGTCCTCCAAGCTTCGTCATAGACGGCACGATTGCCCTCGTCAGGCTTTGACGGCTTGAGCGTGAAGACGCTCCCCGTGGACGAGACCGGTTCCCTCGATGTAAGATAGTATGGGGTGAACCGCTCCGGATTTAACATAGTCGACCCGGAGTTTTGCTGAGACCGGATATACGCACCGATCCCCGCCGCTGTAATACTCACGAGCGCAAGTCGCATCCATCGACGCCGCGGCGGCGGAGAAGAGGGCGGAGCGGAAGCACCATAGCGACGGCAGTGCGGACGACGGAGGGAGTTAACGGGGAGACATGGCGGACGGAGAGAAAAGAGGGTTGGATTGGAAAGGCGAGACTTCATGATGAAGGAGAGAGACAATGGACGAAAGAGAATAAATTGGTTTGCGGAGAGAGAAGGCAAAAAAAGAAGGGCCCGGCAGGCGTCAACCCGCTAGGCCTCTTTAGGGGCCGATCGTCATCCTCTCCTTCCATTGTTCCCTCTTCTGCTTCAACTTCCCACTTTTCTTTTCCTGTTTCTAGCCAGCTTGGGTGCTGACGGAGGACGGACACACTCTTCCTTCTTCTCGTTTCTACACTTCTCTCCTTCTGACTTCCCACTCGCCCGCCCTTCGATGGGATGGACCCCGTCTTGTCTTATGATCTTTGACCTGCTCACATGCCAATCTCGCCTCCCTGTCTTCTCTCCTTTTGACCCTCGATCGCCATGTCCCATGTGCCCTTTTCCGGTGCTGAAAGCCGGTCAGACCATCATCGGGCTCCGCGCGACTCACTAGAGCTTGCTTCGCTCGCCTCCTCTCCCGCCGGCGCTGGGTCCTCCCGCTCCTCCTCCCCCTCCGGCATTTCGTCGTCGCGCAAGCTCTCCCTTGAGGACGAGGATCCTCTATCGAACTCCTACCAACACACAACATTCGACCCCGGGCAACCCAGGTCGGCTCGATCATATTCGGTATCGTCTGCTTTCGATTTTGGGAGAACGCTCTTTCCCCTGTCGCAGACCGCCGGCGGTTATGCTCCCTTGGGCGCCCCATCGGCACTAGATCGAGAGGCCGGGGCCGCTGACGGCTCGTTGGAAAAAAACAAGACCCTGACTTACTTAAATGGACTCTCGTTGGTTGTGGGACTGATCATCGGCTCCGGCATCTTCTCCTCCCCCAGCCAGGTCAATGTCAACGCGGGCTCTCCGGGCGCGTCGCTGATTGCCTGGGTGGTCGCCGGCTTACTGGCGTGGACGGGAGCGGCCAGCTATGCGGAGCTAGGAGGCGCGATTCCTCTGAACGGTGGGTCCCAAGTATACCTCTCCAAGATCTTTGGGGAGCTGGCGGGCTTTCTCTTTACCTGGTGTGCCGTCCTCGTTCTCAAACCAGGCAGCGCGGCCATTATCGCCATCATATTTGGAGAGTATGTTGTCCATGCTGTGGTGGGGGCCGAGGTCGAGCAGGTCAACCCCTGGATCAACAAGGGCGTCGCCGTGGGGAGTGTTTTGGTGGTCACCCTGCTGAACTGCGCGTCGACCCGGGCGGCTACCCGCCTCGGCGACGTTCTCATGTTCTTCAAATTCATCGCTTTGCTCGGGGTGACCGTCATCGGCATCGTCGTGGCGATCACCGGTCTGTCATCGAGCGGCAGTGCAAGTGAGGAGTGGAAATCCGGCTGGTTCAAGGGCACGAGTACGGACGTGTCGGCGTGGGCGCTGGCTCTGTATGCAGGCCTCTGGGCCTTTGACGGCTGGGACAATGTACGTGCCTGAAGACTCCCTTCTTTCGAAACAGTCGGGAACTAATGAACGAACAGACAAACTATGTGACGGGCGAATTCAAAAACCCCAATCGTGACCTTCCCCGTGTCATTCACACGACCATGCCGCTGGTCATTCTCAGCTATCTCCTCGCCAATATCTCTTATTTCCTCGTCCTGCCCCATTCCACCATCGAGGCGAGCAACACGGTCGTCGTTCAGTTCGGCGACAAGGTCTTTGGGTCCGTCGGGGCTCTGGTTTTTGCGTTGATCGTCTCGGCCAGTTGTTTCGGCGCCCTCAATGCCACGATCTTCACGAGCGGACGCTTGGTCTATGCCGCCGGCAAGGAAGGTTACCTGCCTACGGTGTTTGGCCATCTGTGGACCCGAGGATCACCTAGCAGCGGGTCAAGCAACCGATTGCAGCACCGCTCGTGCGCCCGCAAATTCACCGCACGCATCTTCGGAGAAGATACGCGGATCGGCTACACACCGATTTACGCGATGGCCCTGAACAGTGCAATAACGCTCATTTACGTCGTTGTAGGTGAATTCAGGACGCTGGTCACCTTCTACGGCGTGGCCGGCTATACCTTCTACTTCCTCACCGTGCTTGGCCTCATCGTCCTGAGGATCCGCGAACCGCGCCTGGAGCGGCCGTACAAGACGTGGATCTCCAATCCCATCATCTTCTGCTGTGTCAGCCTGTTTCTTCTAAGCAGGGCGGTCATTGCAGAACCCCTGCAGACCCTCATCGTTGTAGCCTTCATCATCGCCGGCGTACCGGTCTATTTCTGGCGCATCTACCAGCGTGATGGTCGCAAAGCATTGCCAGGGTGGAAATTCTGGCAATCGCGATAGCCACCAGAACTTACCTGACTCGGCTTCTTATGCAAACTCTCTATATCCTTTTCTTTCGTCCTTTTTTCTTCCTCTCTCCATCATACCCCCGGTAAGATCTATCATTTCAAGTTCTCCGGCGGGTTTGAGACGACTTTTGCATTGGTCCGGTGTATTCTGGCATAAATATCATAAATGACAGGCCGTTGTCGCCCTCTTGCAATGCAAAGTTGAGTTGTCTCTTTTTCTCGACATGTTTAATAGAAGCGGAAGAGTGTTTATAATCATGAATGGGTGGGACGGGTACATGAAAACTATTGATACATATATAATTAATCAAATAATGCGATTCGACTAGGTCATTTCTTATAGGCTTCACTTGCATTCTAGTAGTCCCCACCGGGATCCATGGCTGGGAAGATGATTTCCGGGGGTTCTTCGGGGAAAATCAATCCCTTGTGGCCCAAAATTAGGCAGCCAAAGTCAATGCGGTGGCGGAGGCGCAAGCCATGCGGGCCAGGTGAATCAGGGGGAAGAACGTTCTGCAAGCATTCAGCCAATTGTTCGGGTTCACAGAAGATCGGAATACTGATACTGGGAGGACCGTATCGGTGCATCCAATGTTGGGCACAGCAAAGTGGATCTCCAAACGCCTCCCGTTCGGACGGACATTGTCTATCTGAAATTCCATGTTCTATACCATTTCCGTAACCGGCGCCGGTGAAACATCTAATTCCTGGGGGAGAGGTGACTTGAACCGATCTGGGGAATTCTGGCAAGGTCTCGGCCGATCCTATCCCACTGCTCCACACCCTCATTTCTCCTACGGGATGACGTGAAATCTTCCCGCGAAAAGAGAGCGGTGGTGGTCCTGTCCCGACCCTCCCATCGTTGCGTCCCCCCAAATGACGGCCTCGTCGGATTCGGAGTCAATCGACTTCCACCGGGCTATGTCGAACAAGTCGACTGAGGTACAACATGTGGACTTTCCCGACGAGATCCCGGCGTCGGCAGGAAAACCGGCCGTCAATCTCGCGTTGATGCTGGCCTGCGTGGTCTTCGGGGCTGCGTCGTTCCTGTTTGGCTTCGATGATAAGATCATATCGCCGGTGGCTGCGTTAGAGCCCTTTGTGAGTTTCGCTGGCACATCCGACGATATGTCTGTATATGTGAGGGCTGACTCGTTTTTGAATACTAAGGTGGATCGATATCAAGGGGTCAATCCTAAAACGGGCGTGTACTCCATGACGGCTCGCAATCAGACCATCATCTTCTCGGTTCCGCTGGTGGGCTCAATCTTCGGAGGCCTCGCAGCTTCGCCTCTGAACTTCCGACTGGGTCGCAAACCCCCCGTGCTGATAGCCTATATCGTCTCGGTGGGCGGAGGGTTGCTTCAACTGTTCGCGCCGAACTTGGCAGCCTTTGTCTCGGGTCGGTTTGTGAACGCCATCGCCATGGGTATCGCCAATGGCACTGTCCCCTTGTACTTGTCTGAGGTGAGAATAAGCCCACCCTACCTCAATAGGTTGTCTGGTATCACTGAACTTTGTATTTGACTAGGTAGTCCCTTCCTCTATGAGAGGCCGGAGTGTTTCGATAATCAATATCTTGAATGTGATGGCCGGGTTGATAGGAACAATAGTGGTATTCGGGACCCAAAAACTAGGGGGCCGAGGGTCCTATATGATCCCCTTAGCGGTTCAGTCCGCCGTGCCTGGGGTTCTTTTTGTCTGCACACTACCTCTCCCGGAAAGCCCCCAGTGGCTGGTCGCCCGAGGCCGCATGGAGCAGGCCCGGACGAGCCTGCAGAAGCTGCGCGGGTTCGGCGCACAGGCGGTAGAAGAAGAGCTGGGCATAATCCAGCTCAGCGAACAGACCGAGCGAAAACTGCGAGCCAGTGGAGACTTCTGGGAGATCTTCACGCGGCATCACCTGCGGCGAACCCTAACTGCCGGCTCTTTCTACTCCTTGAATCAGATATCTGGCGTGATCCTGTCTACGACATACAGCACGGTGTTCCTGGCCGAGATGGGTACCAGGGACCCATTCTCTCTGACAGTGATCGCATCATGCTGCACACTTGCCGGGGCGATAGCTGCACCACTCGTGATCGACCAAAGGGGGCGTCGTCCAACCGCTTTAGTAGGGATGAGCGCCCTATTCATCATCGACGCCGTGGCCGGGGGCCTGGCGTTCAACCGAGGCGAAGTGCAGTCAATCCAGGCAATCGCAGCCTTGTCCTTCATATTCAATTTCTTCTGGGCCTCCTCGTTCGCGCCCTTGTCCAATCTGATGCCCTCGGAGATCGCAACCCCTAAGCTCCGCCACCACACCATGGCCTATACAATTGCCTGCGCGCAAACCACCGCCGTGATCACTACGCTCGTCGTTCCGCAGCTAACGACGGCTGACGCAGCAAACCTAGGAGCCAGGGCCTACCTTATCTTTGCAGGCTGCATGGCGTGCATTCTAGTATTTACCTACTTCTTCATGCCCGAAACCAAAAATCGGACCTTTGCAGAGATCGACGAGATGTATGATGCTAAAGTACCGGCGTGGAAATGGCGACAATATCAAACTTCAGAACGGGCCCGCACGGGCAAGTGTTCTCTACACGGGCAGACCGTGGTAGTTCCGAGCAAATCCGTGTCCTAAGGCCTTTGGGGGTGAGGGGCAAATCCGTCGTCCTTGGCGTGTATGAATAAATACCTAATTAACACAAATTTCTTATCCTCAGTAGCCTGAGATATGCGCGTTCATCGGTTTGATCCTCATCCGGGAGTTAATAAGTCCCAATTAAGATATAAACATGTGATCTCGTATCGCCGCAAATGACAGCGGCAAAAAGGAGGTATCCAGATAGGGAGAGGGACGAAGTAAAAAAAAAAAAAAAAAAAATTATTACAAAACCCAGGTTTCGAGAGACATGCTTTATGAGGGAGTCCAGCTCGCGCTTGCTTTGTCGTCTGTATGCGAAGTACTCAAGAACGTCTTGTACTTTTCCAAGAATGGGTGATTGCCGCCCCGGAGACTGCTTAGCAGCAATAAGAAATCCTCGGCCAGGGAATGTGATAACGAGGCGGCGCGCGGAGATTGCGATATCGACCCTGTCAGGGTTGTAGACGATACTCCAGAGCCAGGCGCATTCTCAACGGTGGGGCCAAGAACGAGTCCATCTCCTCCGGGGGACCGAGCGTTGGGCGATACACTAATAGCACTGACGGCGATATCATACAATTTTTCAACCTGGTCCGGTAAGCTTGGAGAGAAAGAGATGTCCCCTGTTGATGTCAAATACTCACAAGGCCTATTCCATGTGCCTCCATGGAGCTGAGGCGTAGCGACTGGCAAATCCTTAGAGTGTCCTTGGCAACGGAAACTGCATAGGTAAAAGAGAGCTCTTCGTGATCTGACGTGGGCTTCAGAATACCATGTGCAGAGCATAAAACCCATACACGATTTTGGAGCCACTTTTTGGTGATGAAGACATCGGCGCATTGGGTCTCCCGCAGACCCATGGCCGGATGGGCCCCGCGAGAGCCACCTGAAGCAGACTTGCTGCGCTCAAACCAGTCGTACCCCTTATATCGCTCCGATTCACTGACACGACTAAGGTTTTGGTGAATGGCTAGGGCCTTCGCCTCCGTAAGCCTGTCGCAATATCCAGCATTAATGCTGCATCGTCGATTCCAGCAATCCACGACGTCCTCATCCACTGCATCAAACAGTTCCATTAAACGGGCTAGCCCCATCATGCCTTTGGCATCTTTTTCATTGTGGACAATGATACCCGATACCAGACTATGCGTTGCGCTGTGGATGAAATCGTGAACCGAGCGCATACTAAACCCTGGCTTTCCCCAAAAGGTTATGGGGTGTCTCCGCTGCAGCGCATATGCTCTATGGGTAGGGCAACAAGCAAGTTAGATTGAGGCGCAAGATATAGAGAAGAAACGAAGACATACCTCTCCGTGATGGATAAAACAAGATACGTTCGCAAACGCTGACCCTTCTCTTCACTAGAAAGCTCCCTATAAGAGTCGGGGTTGTTGAGACCCAAGGTAGCGGCGAGATCAAGGGCTTCTCGTAAACGGAGCCACGCTGCATTATGCTGGTTGCTGCCGAAGAGACAGCCAAAGAGAAAGAAGCTCGTTAGAACGGCCTCGATAGTCGGATGCTCCCCGAAATCAGAGCAGCTCCGCATCTTGGTGGCTTCGTTCATCATTAATCTAGCCTGACCGGCGCGGGATTGAGATGTCGGGCGTTCGTCAATTTCAATTGGTTGGGTTAAGGAAAAGGCACACAGTGACAATAACATCGAGCCAAACTGTGGGTTTCTCCGGTGCTCCTGGGACAACATTCGGACGAACAGGGACGACCGATTCAAGACGGGCAAGGTCGGATGCAAGCGGTCAAAGTAGACGTCGATCCAGGGTATCATGTTTGCTTCGACAATGGAAGGGGGCCATATTGTCTTCGGTCCACCCGATTCGGGGGCACAGGGCCCAACACTTGGCACGGGGATATTCGAAGACTCGACCGGTTGAGGTAACCGCGCCGGATCCGCCGCGTCGGTTTGTATGATGGACGGCAGGGACGTTTTCAGGTAGATATTACTACCCGGGAAATCAAAGATTGGCATCTGGCCATCCAGATTATCGGGAAGCCAATACTCGACATCGTTTCTCTCATTCCAGCTGATTCCGCTGTTGCTATGAGAATCAACCGAGGAGGCATCTGCACCCCATCCGGGCGCAATGGGAGGAGGGGCGTGGGCAGGCGCAAGGTCGACGGGCAGATGATGAGGTTCAGCGGACATGTGCCACGGCGCGGGCTCCTGCATGGGAGGAACCGCGCCGAGCTGTTCTCCCTCCGGCAACGGGGCGTCCGGTGGATAGGGAAAGGCGGGGGCGGGAAACGATTGAGAGCCGGCTTGAGGCCGCGGGCTTTTGGGCGGCAAATGGGTTTGCTGCTGTCGGATTTGCGATACGCGACTTTGGGGGTTCCAATGACATTGAAAGATAAGAAAAAATCCGACAATCGATCCACGACGAGATTCAGTTGGTTCGATAAAACTCACTGTCCGGTTGGACCCCGTTTCTTCTGCGGTTGAAAGAAGGTACAATCAAAGCCCATCGAAACGCAGGCCTTACATGGGTGCGACAGACTGCACTGTTGAGCCGTACTGACTAGGTTAGCACCCACCCCCACTGTTGGAGTTGGAGTGGCAAAAGGAAGGGGGGGAAGACGTCTGCTTGCCTTGATCTTGCGGAATTTGCATTGGTCGCACGCTCTTTTCGCGATAGTCCCCGATGCCTTCCTTCGGGAATCTGTGCGAATGGCCCCCGTCGGGGTTGGCACGGCGGCATCCGAGGTCGGGTTCATGCTGGCATAATTAATTCCAGACCGGTTCGATTGAATGAAATGAACGGAGTAGACTAGAGCGAGTAGAACCGGTCCACAGGACAATCGGCGGGATGGGGGTGTGGACTTTTTGATACCTGTTCAAGATAAAAGCAATGATTAAATAACAAGAAGAGGAATTATGCAGGACTATCGGGCCAGGTGCAGAAGATCTGGAGAAAGGGCAGAGGAGAGAGAAAAAACGAAAAAAAAGGGCCGGCCGCGGAGGCCCCCGCGTTACGGGAAGACAAGGCATCAAGGCACTCCGTCGGACCGTACTGTCCGTCCGTCCTCCGGTATGGTATCAGTACATCATCGACATCTACGGGGTACATACATACCCTAAGTTGTACAGTACTTTGTAGGAAGTACCTACCTACTATCTCTCTATATCTATCCCTCTTAAATGTACCCCAACTCTCTCCCCCACCATATAAATAGCGTCACCGATCACATACTGCCCATACCCGCAAATCAACGTCCTCACTTCTCGAGCAACACAACATGGGTAGTCACCAGTCATGGATGCAGATCGTCGCCGAGAAACGCTCCCAGCGCGATCGGTTGTTGAAGCCCTATACAGTCTCGGATGTGGACCAGCGACCCCCTCAGGTCCACCGGGTGCAGGATCGCTCATGTCTTCAGGACGATCCTCTTTCGCACAAGATCACGGAGATTGACAGTATATGCTCCTTGCTTGAACGGCTAAAGACTGGGGAATTCACCGCCGAGCAAGTTGTCCTGGCTTATATCAAAAGGTACACGTTCTCTCCCGTGGGATTGCAGACCCCGAGTTGAACTGATGTTCGTCATCCTAGGGCTGTGATAGCGCATCAACTGGTATGAATTGATAAAAGGCTCTGCCCTCCCTCAGACATCTGATTAACTACGGTAGTGCATCAATAGACCAACTGCCTCACAGAAGTGGTTTTTGAAGAGGCATTGGCACAGGCCCGAGCATTGGATCGCGAATTCCGAGAGACCGGCCACCTCAAGGGACCGCTCCACGGTATCCCACTCACCGTGAAGGATCAGTTCAATGTCAAAGGGGTGGACACCACTCTTGGCTATGTGGGACGTTCCTTTGCGCCTGCTGCAGACGATGCCGTTCTCATTCAGATGCTGAAAGACATGGGTGCCATCGTGCTGGCCAAATCTAATTTGCCGCAGAGTATCATGGTATGCCTCCCTCTCTAGCCAGTCATATCATGGGAGTATAGTCTGATGATTGTGAAGTGGGCAGAAACGGAGAATCCTTTATGGGGACTGACAGTCAACCCCAGAAATCCTGCATTTACACCGGGCGGCTCGACCGGCGGGGAGGGTGTTCTCCTGGCCTTACAGGGCTCTCTTCTAGGTCTAGGAACCGATATAGGCGGTAGTGTCCGGATTCCTCAGAGTATCATGGGCTTGTACGGATTCAAACCTAGTGTGAGTGTCTGGCCCTTTGCTTTGCCCACCCAGGACAAGACCTTTCTTGAGAAATGAATCCCAACCCCTGGTACGTAGTAATAACCTCGGAGCAGAGCGGCAGGCTTCCATACTACGGAGTTCCGGTCTCCACAGAGGGACAGGAACACGTTCCTTCCGCCATTGGCCCAATGGCTCGAGATCTGTCTTCCATATGCTACGTGAGTCGGCTGATAGCCAACGCCAGACCTTGGGAACGGGACCCCAGATGCGCTCCTCTCGAGTGGAACGAGCGGGCTTTCCAGTCCGTACAAATTCGACCCATGGTAGTCGGCTTGATTCTGGATGACGGCGTCGTGAAGGTCCACCCTCCTATCGAGAGGGTGCTCCGACAGTTAGCCACGAAATTGCAAGCCGCGGGCCATGAGTTGCTTGTCTGGGATGCGTCGGACCATTTAGAATATATCCGGCTCATGGATCGTTACTATACGGCTGATGGCTGTGAAGATATCCGTCGCGACATCGATGCAGCCGGGGAGCCACTCATCCCCCACGTGGAAGCGCTGGTCAAACGCGGGGAGGCCATTTCGGTCTACGACTACTGGCAACTCAATAAGCAAAAAGTTGCACTGCAGAAAAAATACCTCGACAAGTGGAATGCGGCACGATCGGCGTCGGGACAACCGGTTGATGTTCTCTTGTCCCCCATCATGCCGCACTTGGCGATTCCCCATCGCCAAGTGCGATGGGTTGGCTACACGAAGATTTGGAATCTACTCGACTATCCCGCGATCACTCTTCCAATCGACCAGACGAGAGTAGGTATGGATGACCTTCCGGAGGAGCCATATCAACCACGGAATGAACTTGACACCTGGAATTGGAGCCTTTACGATGTAAAGGCCTCTGAAGACCACCCAGTTGGGGTACAGGTTATCGGGCTGAAGCTAAATGAGGAGAAGGTGTTAGGAGCTGCAAGCGCCATTGAGAGAATCTGGAGAGGGCAATGCGCAGGGAAGAGTACCTAACCCGTCTGATATTTGGGAACTGAGTACACTGCGCACACAGTATGTGGAATGGTGGAGGTACCCTGCAGAGCCTCCCCCACTTTTCGGTTCTCGGGTGGGGGCATGCGGTCATGCAGTGATGCAGTGATGCAGTGATGCACGTTGGAGTAACAACCAAAGGCGAGTTGGAGACTTGGAGTAGATGAGACGCGATAAGAGGAGGTCGGAAACAGAGATGGCGGCCTTAGTAAGGATAAGCCACATCCCTTATCATCGCTAGGCCTCCCCACTCTTAGATAGTTTCGTTAATATAGAAATCAGTCTCCCCTCCAAACGATCGTCCACTGTTCTAATATCGTACTTCATACCCGGCGCATTGTTCCATAGGTTGTCCCTGCAATCTTGGCGAAAACGCTCGAACCTTGTCTATACTCGATCCGTACATCATCCCTTCAAGTTGAACACAGCAAGAAGACACCATGGGCAAGAAACGAGTCTTGGTCAGTTACGGAGTAGATATCGACGCCGTGGCAGGTTGGCTGGGATCATACGGTGGCGAAGACAGCGCTAATGATATCAGTCGGGGTAAGTTTGGTCGCCGTACGAATGCAAAGAGTCGCAGATTCTGATTTCTATCGACAGGCTTGTGGGCTGGCCACATTGGCACCATGCGCCTGCTGAAGATGTTCCAGAAATATGACATCAAAGCAACGTGGTTCATTCCTGGTCATTCTCTAGAGACCTTCCCCGAAGAATGCGCCAAGATCCGGGACGCCGGCCATGAGATTGGATTGCACGGCTACAGCCACGAGAACCCGTCAGATATGACGATGGAGCAGCAGCGAGACATCCTGGATAAAACCTATCGTATGATATTGGACTTTTGCGGCAAGCCACCCCGCGGGATGGTTGCACCGTGGTGGGAAACGAGCAAAGAGATGACGAACCTCTTGCTTTCCTATGGAGTGGAATACGACCACTCCATGTCCCATCACGATTGCCAGATGTACTGGCTCCGTACGGGGGACACCTGGACGAAGATTGATTACAGCCAGAAGGCTGAAACCTGGATGAAACCCTTGAATCGCGGTCAAGACACCGGTTTGGTAGAAATCCCAGGCAACTGGTACATCGACGACTTGCCTCCAATGATGTTTATCAAGTCAGCCCCAAACAGCCACGGATGGGTCAACCCTAGAGATGTCGAGGATATCTGGAAGGTCTGTAACCCAATTCCGACATCTCCCTCATTGATCTGTAGCTGATCGGTTGGCTACAGGACCACTTCGACTACTTTTATCGAGAATATGACGAGTTTGTCTTCCCCATGACCATCCATCCGGATGTGTCGGGCCGCCCACATGTTCTTCTCATGCACGAGAGGTAAGCTAACCCCGATCATGATGATTGATGATAAGCTTTTGAGTGCTGATCTATTTGTAGGATCATCGAGCATATCAACAAGCATGAGGGCGTGGAATGGGTGACCATGGAACAAATGTGTGATGATTTCAAGAGCAAAAACAAGCCACCGGAGGGTGCGAAAATGCCGTCCGCTCCCATATTGAAATGATAGGAAGATATGTCATAGGTTCAGATTTTGTCAATTCGCACAAAGCCGTAGTGCACATCAACATATTGGCGGTATTGTGATTTATCCTAGGTAGTCTAATGTGAATGTGATAATGCCTAAAACCAAAAGAATAAAGAGTCATTTTGCCTATGCTATTCCAACGCCCAATAACACCAACCAAACCAAAGGATATGCCAGGGGAAAAAATGTCGTTTGGTTTTTTTTTTTTTTTTTTTTTTTTTTTTTTTTGTTCGTTGCTTAGGCCTGAGGAGGGTCGAATAACTGTGGCTTCATGTTTATCTTGCAGAGTTTTGATATGCACCCGCTCAACTGAAGCAAGGATTGTATGCCATCTAAAATGCGCATATGGGTGAAGCCGATCTCTCGAATGAACTCGAGCTTTGAATGCTCTGACAGCGTTGGGATAGTCTTGGTGACACGAAACATGGTGCTGATGATGTCGTGGGAGGAGTATCCTAGGTCCCTATGGAGGAGGTTAGTAGTGCTGTTCTTGACCAACCCCAATGTAGTCACTAATCGTAGAACATACCACAGCTCATTCAACGATTCCAAGGCAGCATCCACCTTGCCCTCCCAGCAAGCCTTGATCATTGCTTGGACCTTGATAGGATGGGGGCTATCAACCACCCGGAAAACATTGTCTCCACTAACAAATCCGAAGCCAGACCATGTACTCTGAAGGTTGTTGATTGCTTGACGCATGTCTCCTTCGGCACTGAACACCAGGGCGGCAATTCCATCTTCGGTATGTTCCACCTTCTCGGCCTCGCAAACTTGTTTCAACCGTTTGACAACCTGAGCGTCGGTTAAACGGGCATAGCGAAGGATGGCACATCGTGACTGAATAGGTTCGATGATCTTATTTGATTGGTTGCAAGCGAATGCAAACCGCGTGGTAGACGAATAGATCTCCATCGTTCGTCGCAGCGCTTGTTGGGCACCAGGCGTCATACTAAAACACGAGTGGACACATAGTCAGGCAAAGAAGAGTCATGAAATAGTCCCGTCTGTATACATACCTATCCGCTTCGTCAAGGATGACAACCTTGTGACGGCCTGGGGACAGGGTGACTTTCTTCTGGGCAAAGCCCTTGATCCGATTGCGGACCACATCGATACCTGGAGGGCTTGTTAGACACCGATGGCCTTCCGTGAACCACTTGTAGCCACATACCTCTCTCGTCACTAGCGTTTAGTTCCAAGACTGCCTCCTTATATGCGTCGCCCAATAATTGTCTTGCCAAACACAGGATTGAAGTCGTCTTTCCGATACCCGGCATTCCGGAGATAATCACATGGGGCATATTCCCATCCTTCGCAATGATATTCAACCGTTCGATAGTCTCTGTGTTTCCGACGATGTCGTCGAGGAAGACAGGGCGGTATTTCTCGACCCTGCAGGTAGCTATCCGTCAGAGCTATACTTCGGGGAGTCGAAAGGATTTGTTGCATGCATACCAAGGCAGCTCGTAGTCAGGCGGGGCTCCTGCTGTGACAGGCTTGAGGCCATTGCGGGCAGCGCTAGCTGATGATTCGGCTGGGGCCATGGTCAAAGAACTGGGATGCGCAGGGACAGTGTGGTGAGATAGCAATGAGGCCGGTGTCGAGAAGGACGCGAAAACCGACGCGTCGAGCTCGATGCGGATTTGACCCGATTGGGATTAATTCGCCTTGACAAGACATGACGGAATATTACATACATTACTCTCTGGACCGGGAGTATCAGAGGAATTTCCATATATACGGTATGTATGTATGTTATGTCTTGGTATCTGTACAGTACAGTACATGCTCACATAGGTACCTATACATCCGTTCCTTCTCCGCCTTTCTCCAATTCACATCGATTTCACCAGACATTTTCAATCATCAATCTCCTAACCATCGGCATCGCTTTCATATGGTGCCACTTACATTCTTATCTCACTTGCCTTCCTCTGTCAGGTCAACTGACATATTTGACCGCAATGGGAGCTACCTCCGTCCGCCGCAATATCTTCCATCATCACCTCAGCCGACGGCCGGTGTCCACCGCCCCTTCTAATGCTTCAGTGCCACCTACTGGCAGTGCCGCCAGTCATGGCAGCTCTGGTCTTTCCTCCCACATGATATCTGCCGCCGCGTCCGAATCCACGTCCTCCCTGAGCTCTGGCCCGATCGACAACGGAGAAATCGTGACCCGGGACAAGAATGGCGGCTACAAGCTTGATATCCCTGTTCTTCCGCCAATTGCTGGACGGGAGGGTGAAGAGGAGATGGAGGATGTCGAGGGCGGAGGCGTGTCTGGAGGCCCTGGCGCTGGAGGTACCAATCCTTCGGGGCAGGCAGGTATGAGCCAACGTGAAAAAGAGAGTACGTTGCCAACACCATTACTTCTCCAAACCCTGGGCTAAGTTCACTTTATGCTAACTGCGATTCTTTCCGGGATATAGAAATTGAGGCAACTTTGGTTGAAATGATGTGCCGAAGCCGCAACCGCCAATTGAGCAGCGAGCCAGCTGGTAAGTGTCATATACATTGGTTTTATCGCCAATCTTATATAGCCTGGATGAACCTTGCCTTCCATGCCGGCCACCGCACCACGCTAATTTCTGCAGAAATTCTAAACCTTGTCCACCAAAGCCTCCGAAACAAAGTAGCAGAATTGGACGAAGACAATTGGATGTACGAGCCGGAAAGCGACGCAGGACTCTGATAGCAGGCAGTGCAAGCGGATAAAGATGCATGCTTGTTCGCAACAACCCGAATCTTTCCTGCATACCTATGTTACGAGGAACCGCATTCTGTCTAGTCGAGCTCCGGATTCGCCGGCGCCGCCTCAACCTTTCTCGATGGTCCCCGGCCTCCTTGTACCCTCCTACCTCCTGCACCCTCTTGACCCCCTCCGAAGAACATGCTACCCATCATATCCAACAACGGGTTACCTTGCCGGGGGATTTTGATCGCAAAGTATTGCTCCCCAATCTGGGCCAATGCGTCATCCCATAGACCGACCTCTTGGATCTGCGCCGCATAGTGCGCGGTGAGCTGCTTGAACAGGTCTGCGCTACCCCGCTGAATCGTCAGAAGCAGCATGTTGAGGAAATTTAGCAACGGCAGCGCGGGAAAGACTCGCACATCGGTACTAGCACTGCTAATCCCTTGTGAGCCAAGAGTGGGATTGGAGGCAGAAAGCCGCGATGTGAAGATAAGAAGGGCTTTGTTGGCATTGCGCAAGTTTCCCGTTAGAATGTATGGAAACACCGCGCGTGATGCATAGATAGCCGCAGTGTGCGGTTCATCATTAGTGTACCATTCATACTCGAGCTTTGCCAGAGTTTCGGCGGATTCAGACGTTCCGAGGATGAGATGCTTCTCGGCATCGTACGGTTCATGGTCTGCAGCTTGTAATTAGAAACGAACCATCTCAAGAAAAAGGCTCGACATAAACACGGACCTTCGGCGTAAACTGATCCGGCTGCATGATGCAATTCCGGGTCTCCTCTCTCCAAGGGCCCAAACCGCCCACTCCAGCCGATCAGCTCCTGGATAAACCGCTTGCGAGTGGGTTCCTCCGGGGGGAACTCATGAAGAAGCTTAATAAGGCGCTCTGTTATGAACGACAGTCGTCAGCCAAGGTTCGCCCCATTCATGGCGGCTTCAGTACTAACTCTTCCGAGCTCGGCCCTCTGTGTCGTTATCCCCTCCCAGGATTTCCCAGCCTGCCTTGGTGTACACTTCGACAACTAGCATGATGGCGAGGTCTCCTCCACTGGCGGATGCACCTTGTTGCGACCCGGCTCTCAAAAGGGCGGTCGCGCCGCCAGCCAGAAGCTCCGCGGCAGCATCGTAGTTCGCTTGCTTGATGTATCGCGCGGCGATAACACGTAGTTGTTGATGCGCTTCGTAGTAAGCCCCGGAGGCGATCCTGGAGGAGACAGCGAATCAAGGTTAGTACTCAAAGACCTGATAATTGAACCCCAGCGTAGAGCGTGGGCCAGCCAAGCACAAACATGGAGGACAGTCACTTTTCTCGTTGACGGGCAATAGTCTTGTCGATGCGCGAAGTCATCTTGATTTCTGGGCTCCCTGCGAGAGCTGCAAACCAAGTTCAAATACTGCAAGAAGATAGTAGGCAGTTGAAGCCAATCCGTGGTGGTTGCACTGGTTCTCAAAATCCGGCAGGGAATCAGAAGGTCAAAGTGGGGGGGGGAGAATTACTGCTGAAAGGCAAGCTGGTTAGTTGCCTACCACGCCAAACTCCGGACTTACCCTTACTTAACTACTAACTACAACTAATAACTACAACTAATAACTACAACTAATAACTACAACTAATAACTACAACTAATAACTACAACTAATAACTACTACTAGATCCTCGACTCTCTCTTCGATCAGTTCAAAGTGTTTACCCCCATATCCGGCCACGCAGGACCAGCCAATGCACGGCTTTTCAGAGGAATTAATTGAATCATAATGGCTCGTAAGGTTTTTAACATGCAGCCCATCGGCCGATTCTATGGCGCCAGCACCTCCATTCGACGTCCCAGGGTGCGCTCGTTTCCCTCTCTCTTTTAACCGCATGTGTCGGGTCGTAACGATCGTCTAGGAAATCACTTGCTTTTCGTACGATGATGACCATCAATTTCATCTGGGAGAGCCGTCCCTGCGGTACTACTACCCGCCCAGTCTTCCTGCGGATTTAAATCGCGGCTTTGATACCTTCCAAAAACTGGATGATGCAGCAGATGAACATCTAGATGCCCTTTTGGAGACGATCATTGCTCACGAAAAGGAAACGGGGAAGAAATGCGAGACCGACATCATCACCTGGAGAGGCATGATGACCAAGGTCAGTAGTCGAACCATCGACTGGGACCCATGTGGAAGTCCTCTCTAATGCCGTCACCTAGATCCTGACCGCTCCGTTTGATACGATGAACGGGTGAGTGCGCTCTACTTTATTTCGCCGGCTTGACCAGCCTCGCTCACACAAGTGTAGGTGGGAAATGAACGCGACCAATTTCCAGGTGAGTGAATGAACTCCCGGCGTCCAGAGCCATGGTAACTCTGGCGATCGCCGGCTGACCTCCAAATTTCAGGGAACGATGTACGTAGGCCTCGAAACCTTCCATCCCAATCAGGAATGGCTCTGACAGGTGCTAGATTCATCGAAGAAAATAATGCATACAAAAACCTGCAAAAGCAAATACAGCACAATCAGAGGATGCCTCCGGGAATGGCTTCCCAGGAACTGATGGCATACTGGGGTACTGTCTATTCAAGCCCCATCCCCGCTATGTCTTCACCCTCTGACAAATGTAGGTTACAAGTTCGAGACACTGTCCCTTCTCAATCAGACATGGGATTCAACTTCCCGCAGCGAGATTGAGGGTCGTGAAGACTTGGTCGTGAATAACAATGCGCAGTACTGCTCCATCGTTCGGACAGGAATCGGCAGTACCCGGCTAGTGATCGGTGGAGAAGTTGACGCCGGTATGTAAGAAATCAAGAACAGAAGCCCCTTTCTGTCATTCTTCAATCGGGGTTGAACCTTCTAACCATATCTGATAGTTTGGGATTCCAAACCTGACCGCAAAGAAGATCCGATCAACTGGGTGGAGCTTAAAACCTCAGCCGAGATCAGGAATGACCGAGACATGGTTAAATATGAGCGGAAACTCCTGAAGTTCTGGGCTCAGTCTTTCCTACTGGGCGTCCCCAAGATTATTGTGGGCTTTCGTGATCAACAAGGCATTGTCCACCGGCTCGAGGAGCTTGATACGGCCAGCTTACCTGGCAGGGTCAAGAAATTTGGAAAGGGGACATGGGACGGAAATATTTGCATCAACTTTGCAGCCGAGTTTCTTGACTGTATGACTCGCTCGTCCCCTCATTCTCAAGATTGGGGATAACCAGCTAATGTGCACCAGGGCTAAAATCAACAATATGTGAAGAAGGCACGTGGAGAATTCGAAAGCCTGAGCAATCGTCTGTGATCGAAGTTTTGAAGATCGAAGAGACCGGGACAGGTGACATTCTTTCTTCGGCGTTTTCGACTTGGCGATCCTCGTCTTGATCGGCGCCCTGCCTGCGCACCTTTGACCGGTGGCTCCATGAAGACCTACAAGCGTGGAGCATCCCTAGTCAACGAGTGCTACTCTTGAGGCGATCTCCTGTATGCCTCTGGCCAACGAGGGACATAAACTACGCGCCGATCTTCACTGGTCCCATGGTGTAGCATTGCTCAGCACCGTCCTTGATACCATGGCACGAACGGGTACCGCACGCGCATTGGATTTCAGATGTAGGTATGAGTTCTATACATCAAAGGCGACGGCCGGAAATATCTGTCCAGGCGCCTGAGAACTATAGTTGCAGGTGACTAGGTTGCATACGAGGGACTAAGTTCTTGGGGTGTATGAATTGTCTTTTGCTAATATCCATAACCATGGCTGTATAATAGTTAAGATGAAATCTAATAATAAAGCAGGCCCGCTGTCTTGGGGCTGAGTGCTCAAAGATTAATCCAAAAAATTATCCGTAGCTTCCAGTCTACCCACTGCCTTTCGGCTGGAAGCTAGGATACTATAGAGAAGACGGGCAGCTGTCTGTGGGTGGCGTAGTCCCTGGATCTTCTTCCAGCTCAACCTGCTTTCTCCGCAGCTGCTCCGCCTTTTTTGCGGCATATTTGAGCATTCTCCTGTGGACCTGCCCGTTAATGTGAATTTCCCATTGCTCCTCATTGGCCATGGTCTTGTTGCAAACGTCACATTTCATAGCTTTAGACTCCGGTCGTGGGCCCTTCAGCATTTGCACCTCTTTTGCCCCCAGCGTTTTGTTTGCCAATTCTGAGAGAGATTTGGGGTCAGGAGTAGCCTCGTCCCGGAGCAAGGATTGGACGAGCAGCTCGGACGGCTCAGTGATGCACTTCTCCCAATTCTCAACGTCGGTGCTGTCCAACAGGAAAAGCCGGTGTGTCATACCAGCCTCGGCTAAGGTGTTCCAAAGTTTGTTTCGAATCCATTTGATCTGGGATGCCGAATATTGGCGGGTTGCAATCTTGATGAGTTCGATGCATGACTTCTTCAGGTCGTTCAGTTCCGTCTGGCTTCGGAGACCGCTATGTAATGCTTCAAAGTAAGGCGCCAGTTCCTTGAATCCAATGGCAATCCACACTCCACGAGTAGGTTCAACGGTGATGTCTTGCTTGTTCTTCTCTCTGAGGTACTCGAACATCTGCTCTGCTTCCGTCATTAAACCTTGTTCCATCATGCTATCCACACGCTGATCGAGCCGAGAATTCAAGACATTCTTGTCCGAGTGGACCCAAAAGATCATAGTCGGAAAGCGTAGCTGTTGCGCATTCCCTCGAGACTTTTCTTCGGACACGCCTTGTTTCAGGCGTTTCTGCTCGGCATAGACTTCCGATGCGGGCCTTCCTGTCTGGAAGTAGATCTCTAAAGACCGGCGAATTTTCCGGGTCTCGTTGGGGTGCCAGCGATCGGCCATAACCGGGTCGACCTCCCTGAGTTTCTGCAAAACCGCGTCGGGGTGTGCATCAAGGATTGGCCATTTGGCAGCGAGCTCCGCCAATTGATCGGGGGCGTCTCCGTCCATGTCCTGATCGGCCGAGGACTCCCCGACGAGCTGATCCTTCAACAGTACTGCTTGCGTATAGTAATGGGTACCTCCCACAAGTATCGGCAGCTTCCCCCTTGAATGTATGTCCCGGATCAGTCGAAGGCATTCATTTTTGAACAAGCCCACTCGCCACGGCTCTTCGCCCAGCCCGATGCAGTCGATTAGGTGGTGGGGGATGCCATTGCGTTCCTCGACTGGAATCTGGTTCGTAATGATGGGAAGACCGCGATACATCTGCATCGCATCTCCATTGATGATCTCACCATTGAAGCGAGAGGCAAGGTCCACTGCAAGCTATCTGCAATTATCAGCTACTAGTTCTTCATGGGGAACACTAGTCGCTGCTCCAACTCCGATTTCACTTACCTTGGATTTCCCGGTGCCAGTGGCACCGACGACAGTGATGAGGGGCTCCATTATCGACAAGGGCCTGGTAGGAGAGAGATAACGAAAGAACTGACGCATGGGGAAAACGTAAGAGGGGCATCTAGCATCTTCGTCTCTAAGGCTGAGGGCACTAGGTCAAGGAGGCCATCGTTTTCGTATCCAACTTCAATCAAATGAGATTGGGTAGGAGGGAAAGGCGCAAAAATTCCGACTGATCGGGGAAGGCGGTACGCCTCCGTTATCGACGGTCGCATCCATCGCGTGATAATGGCCTGCTATCCCTCTATCCTTTGGGGTTAGCAATTCTTCTTCTGAGTCACTCTCAAGGGCTATACATATCTAGATCGAATCTTTTATCTTTTCTTCTGCCGTTCGTCTCTCTCGCCCCTCTCCCCTTGTGTGGTATCCCAGATTCCATCTCGTCGCAATGTCCGATTCCCCCGCGCCTTCGATTCACGTTCAAAACCTGACCTACCAATTCCAAGATGGATCATCTGGTTTGACGGACGTGAGTCTCCAGGTACCCTCCGGGAGCCGGACGCTACTCATTGGAGGTAAGAGAAGCCACCGCGCCGTATTGATCGAGTCTATGGATATTAACAGAATGGCAGCCAATGGCGCAGGCAAAACCACGCTGCTCCGCTTGTTAGCAGGTAAGCGTCTCGCTCCGAGGGATACGATTTCGATTGGAGGCAAGGATCCCTTCACGGACGGACTCGAGGGAGTGACATACCTTGGGATGGAATGGGTCCTCAATGCCATCGTCCGCTCCGACATTGATATTCCGACACTGCTGGCCTCGGTCGGCGGGGACGCCTACCCCAAGCGAAGAGACGAGCTGGTGGACATCCTTGACATCGACCTCAATTGGCGCATGCATACCGTCTCCGATGGCGAGCGGCGTCGCGTACAACTGGCCATGGGCTTGCTCCGGCCCTGGCAGGTGCTGCTTCTCGATGAGATTACCGTCGATCTGGACCTCCTTTCGCGGAGCAATTTCCTCGCCTTTCTCAAACGTGAGACGGAAACCCGGCCGTGCACGATCGTATATGCTACGCATATTCTAGACAACCTGTCCCAGTGGCCGACTCATCTTGTACATATGCACTTGGGAAACGTACGGCAGTGGGGTCCAATGGAAAAGTTCAACGACGAGGTTCCGGAGACGTCGCAGAATAGTCAACTTGGTGAGCTTGTCCTCAAGTGGCTGAGGGAAGATCTGAAAGCCAGAGGGCCTCGGAATGGGCGACATGGCCAAGGCAAGACCTACGAATCTCACGAGGGAAAAGGAGGGTATGGATTTGAAAAACGCAATTGATCGCGCCCCGTTTCCCCTTTGCCTCGCTCTCTCTCTCTTTTATACGAATCATTCAAAAGTGATTCATTCCAACCTTACTGATATGATCTACATCAACGGGGTTTTACGGCATCAACGGCACCGTTTGCATTTAGATCGGGTGGATAAATTCAACATCCCAGGGGTTTTTTCAACATATATATCTCTAGCGAGATTTGCACTTTTGTACATACCTACCATTTTCTTATGAGATGTTGGAAATAGCATACACACGCATCGAGGTATCTTCACTCGCGACAGCGAGGTCGAACTTACGCTTGCCCGCCTCTTCCTCTCCTGTCCCGGTAGAAGGCCGCCAGACCAATTGTGTAATGGTCTTTGAGGGGCTCAAACGTCGATCAACGCTTGCCGAATGCTTGGGTTCAAGGCTGTCGACAGCAATTTGGTATATGGATACCTCGCCACTATCTTCTCCGGCCGCAAGGACGAACGAGTTCTGTTGTATTTGGGGATAGAATGAGATGGCACTGATGGAGGTTTTCAGAGGCACTGTCGATTTGCACATGAAAGTGTCTTCTTCCCTCTGCCATAATTTGATAGACTTGTCTCGGCCCGCCGTCGCAAAGATTGCGTTGTCGGTGGCAGGAGCCCAAGCGGCATCTAGAATCATCCTAGAATGGCCCTTCGGATTTGATGCGAACAGAGAGAACGTGGTCGGATCTTGGTCGCGCCGGCAAAATACTGCCCATTGACGGTCTCTCCCCACACTGAGAAGATAGCGGTCATCTCTAGAAAAGGAAAGACTCGTGACCGTCAAAGAATGTGCTGTGAGAGAAGGTCGGATCTCGCGCCAGTCAGAAGTATCATATAAGCGAATCACCGCGTGGTCTATTGAGCTGGCTTTGCAGGCAGTCGCGATAAGGGTACGGTCATGGCTGGCGACCACCGCTGAAATTTCATATCCATGGCCATAGAGCTTTTCGTGCTCAGGCCACAATGTATGCCGGGCCAGTTGATCCTCAAGGGGAGGTCGATCTGCATCCGCTAGTAGCGTCTGATTTAGTTGAGAATGTACCATCTCCGGGCCATCTGGGCCGTTTCCTTCCACATCCACCGGGGCTTCGTCACCGACCGCTTGATTCGATAATCCTAGAACCGGTATTTGCGCCGTATCCGGGAGCTCATTGTCGTTTGATGGCCGGAATCCAGCAAGCTTCCCCAGCATTTGAGCGATGGGTTTGGGTTCGTTGAAGACCCGTAAGAGTTTCTCATCTGCACCCGACACAAACCGCGCCGGTCCCAAAGTATCAACACAATTCAGATCATATCCATGGATCTGCGGTCGGGAAAATTCATGCCACGAGCAAGAATCCACTCGCAACCATTGTGCATGAAGCCTCGTCGTCTGATCGGCACTGGTCGACATGAGATACCCTCCGGTGGGTTCCCACTGCACACCATTAACCGATCGAACATGTCCTGTGATGCCCAATGACTGCAGCCAAAAATCGGCTGCTTCGTCGTAGTTCCATAGCCTCCAGCTACCTGTGCGACCAAGACTGGCCACACCCTTGCCATCTGGTGCCCAGAGACCGATCCAGAAGCCACCAGTGCTCCCCGTGGCAGTAGTAGATCCTTTTTGCACACTGATCTCACCCATCCTCTCAGCAGAAATCCAAACTCCGGAAACCAAATCCTGTTCCCAGATGGTCAATGTGTTGTCCGCAGACGCAGACAGAAGTTGCTGACGCTCGCTGTTAGGGTTCCACGCGGTGGTGTAGATCCAGTCTTCGTTTCCAAACAAAAGCGCCTCGAATGTGACAGAGTAAGTCGATCCCGCCGTATGTAGCTGGTGCGTCTTGTTCTGTAAAGTCGGTTCAAGGCCCGCTATCATAGTGTCTTCATCATCCTGCGGCAATGACGGAGTTACCACACCCCGGTGGAACCTCCACAGTCGGATGTATTTGTCCTGGCTGGCAGAGGCAAGCAAAAGGTCACCGACCTTGCTATTCTTGTCATGAGTAAACGACAGGGAGCGTACCCAGGCCTCATGGCCAGACAAGACGGCGGAAAGCTTCATATCAAAATCGACAAGAGCATTTTCGGCAGTGTACAGTTGAATGATGTTCGTGGTTCCTGCGACTGCCAGCACAAGAGGACTGTCACTTGCTTCTTTCTGGAGCCGGGTCAAGGCTAAAGCCAAGGGAAAGAACCGTGGTTTCAGGGTTATCGTCTGAAGCAGTTGGCTTTGGCATCCTTCCTGAGAGGCAATTCTCCAAATCTTGACACTCCCATCCGCTGCTCCCGACACAGCGACATCCGTACCGTCGGCAATGGCAAGGGTATTCACCGAGCCTGTATGTCCCTCCAAGGTGTGTGCCAGCGAGAATTGGCGTTTTTCATCGGAATCCGCTCTCCAGAGCCGTAACGTACGATCAACAGAACCGGTCAGAAGGAATTTCTCGCCCGTGGTGGGACAAGTGTAAAAGCGCACGGCGCTGACCTTGTCGGTATGGCCAACGAGAAGGGCATAGACTCCACGGAGCGAACTTTCCTATAGGCGCAAGATTAGTTCGAGTACTAGCGACACCATAGAGCATAATATTGAGTAGTTTCATACCCGAGGATCCCACAAAGCGACATTATTGTCTGCACCGAAGGCGAGCACGCCCGTCTGCACATCCCAGTCCGCGGCAGCGGGGTGACGGTTGCCGCCAACACTGATATAGTCGGTCGTAATGGAGACCATGAAGCCCGCTTTTTTTCTTCGAGCCCTATCGAGGCAAGTCTAGAACAATGGACAAATTCTTCCAGGGCTGCTGGTCGTGCGGGGTTCAAGGGCGCAGTCACAAAGTCCGGAGAAAATAGAGTGCGACTTTTTGTGTCGCAACTTGAATCTTATCGATAAGCGGGTCAATTTCCCCTCGAGAAAATAAAGCCCCTCCTGCTCTCTCTTTCTCTCCAGAACCCTCGTCTTTCGATCTTAAAAGCAGTAGACCCCGAATTTGACGAGTCAATCTTCATCAGCTCCTCTATAAATAATGGCTGCCTCTGCGACTGATCAGATCTCCATCACTGTTGAGTTCACGTACGTTCTAAAACATCTCCAACTCTCTAGTTCTTTATTGAAGTTGAACCATCCCTTGGTCAAGGATGCTATTCTCGCCTCTTCTAACTTCTCCAAAGTGGTGGCTTAGAGATCCTTTTCTCAAACCAACGCAAACACGACCTCACGATATCAAGTCAGCTGGATGACGGTAGCCGGCCCAATATCACCTTCCTTGTCGAATACCTCGTCGAAAACGTCATGAAAGACCAGCGAAAGGAGCTATTCATCCTAGAAGATAACGTGTACGTCCGGAGAAAACCAAATAGCTGGCGAGGTACTAACATCATCATGCCAGGCGACCTGGGATCCTTGTTCTCATCAATGATGCCGACTGGGAACTGGAAGGAGAGGAAAAGTACGAGCTTCAACAAGGTGATAATATTGTGTTTGTTTCTACATTGCATGGAGGCTAGCGTATTGCGGGTACTTTTGCACGTACGGCCACCAATATCACGCGTGGGGTTTGATTTATATCAGGAAGGAAACTCTAGCCATGTTCTATGTCGCTCGCTCGCTCAGTACTGTCTATGCTCACGCGAGTGCTCCGATCTAGACAACATCCTCGACATGCTGCTGCGAAATCCTTTCAGGCTCACGAGGAGTGCGAAGGCCACTTTGCGGGGTCGAAAACCCTTCCTTCGGGCTGCCTATCCCCCCGACCAACGGAGTAGTCACTTCACTAGAGGGCACAGGGATCTTTATATCCTCCGGTGAGCCTGGAATGATCTCCTTTGGAAGTCCGGGAATGTGAATCCTGCGCGCCTCGTTCTGGTAGCTTTCAGGGATAATCTGCAAGATTTGAGTTAGTTAAGCCGTGCATTGGACAAAGGAATGTATTTCTCACCTCAATTATCTCGTCGCGTGGGAACTCTAGGAATGGAATATCCGCTGCGTTGCACGCCATCAGGTAGCCATATAGAACCCTCAGGACACTCTCGTGAGCAATAATAAGAAGATCATTTTGCTCCCGCTCAAGCTCCAAGATGACGGGCTCGAGGCGCACGGCTAGATCATGGTATGACTAGAGGGTTTGATACTTAGGAATGATACTATTGCAAATGGCACGAGTGACTTACCTCAGCTCGAGGATACCTGTGATGATAGGGATCAAGGTCATGTTTTGCAACCTCGTCGGGATATTCTTCGCGAATTTTCTGTTCCGACAGCTTTTCACAGACACCGGGATTCAATTGACTCAGCTGCGATCTTTGTCGAACCTTGTACCCAGTCCCGTGAAGATATTGTGCAGTCTCGATTGTTCTCCGTCGGGTGGATGTCCAGACTGTCAGGGGTTTGAGTTCACAGTCGATTTCGCCTTGATCAGCCATTGCCTGCATCTCATCTTCCCTATGCTTGATCAAACACTCGGTCATTTTCCTCGCATAGTCTTCCCCTTGCTCGGATAGCGAAGCGTCTGCTTTATACGAACCGGCTTCTAGCGAGACACCAGCCTGGAGTTCAGAGGTTAGAAACCTGCCATTCATGTGTCTAGATTGACTTCAATCCACTCACGCGTGCAAAGTATGTGTGTCTCGATTTTATGTGTAGGTTGAGAAGATAGAACACGATTCGATGGGAAAGATAGCCGAAACTCCGATTATTCACTATCAACCTTTCCCCGGCATTGATCATCTTTGTTTTCGAAATTAGCTTAGGCAGTACGAAGCCTCGTATGGGTAACTCACTTTGATGTAATTCAGGTCCTTTTCCTCCATAGTCTGGAACTGGGGAATCCGAGCAGTAATGCGGGTCAAGTAGTGCTTTACCGCATCCTCAGAAGTCCATCCGACATACTAGTCGTAGTCAGGGGGGAATTGAACAACAGGCTGTAAAGAAGCCCAACTCACATCGGGCGAAGAAATTTTAACATTGCGGACATTCTCTTCAATGATGCGCTCGTCGTCACACCATGACTCAATAAACAGAGTCTTCCTCAAAAGGTATGTAAGCACAAACACCAACTTTAACAGGACCACTATCCATATTCACACACCTCGATATCATGTTTTGCAAATTCCTTTGCAAGAGACCGCCGGCCGGAAGCCAGTGGGTTGACCGCATCATAGATTGCTATCTGCCCGTTTTCGTCGTTCAAAAACTGGTAGATATCTTCTCGGCATCTTTTTACAATTTTTTGTCGTAGAAGGACAGAAGATGCAGAAGCTGCAGTGTATTAGTCGAAATCCCTTAAAAAAAACCCAAGAGAGTAGGAAGACAGAAGAGGCAAAACAATGAATGAAGTTGTCAGAAAGATAGATGGCGCGGAATGGCACGAGTCTGACACTATGCTGTCCAGCAAGAAAGGAGAAGTGGTTACCACTTGCCATTGACGAAGAAGTAATCATCCGGAATATCTTGGCCAAAGGGAATCGTAGCACGTCTATAATCTCCGAGGTGGAAGATCCTGGTTTTGACACCTAGCCTGCCACTCTCAATCAGTCAAGAGAAAACATAGAAAGCATGGGTAACGAAATAGACAACGTACCATCTAAGATAACGTGCCAAAGCTACCGATATATGGCTAAAGTAGGATGGATGGGTCAGCAATAGCCATGGATTAGTACGGCCTATCAGGTCAAACGAACGTCTTGCCCCTCGCCGGTAGGCCCACGGTGATAATAACAATCCGACCTGAGTGAAAAAGCCTACCAGACTCCGTGCTGTACAGCTGAGCCGGGGCGAGATCCGCCTTCTCGGGTAAATCATGAATTGCATCGACGAAAGTCGACGATTTCCGGCGGAACCGCGGGGAATTGGCGACAATGTCCGCCGTTCTAGGAGCCATAGTCAGTCCATGCATCCTTGATCTCGTTAAGAAAGCGTAGAGGTGCAGCGATGGCAGTGAAAACAGTGATACCGGTATCAGGTGTGATTGCCGGGACATGTCTTCGTCGCGACAGAAGCAGGTATAGAAGCAGCTGGGCCGAGAAGAACACCACCCAACAAGGCTTACAATAAAGTATCCATAGCGGTATGACTAGTCGAGATAAGAGGCCCAGGAGCAAGGGTCGACGGTGCACGAGCTACTCAGGACATCCGATGATGAAACTAGCCCGGAACGAATGCGCAGCAAAGGGAGGGAACAATAATCCCTCGTCGGCAGGTAGCGGCGGAGGCAGTGGGGGGAGTAGGTAGCAGTTAGGTACACTCTGTATAATGATCACAAGGATGATCGGTAAGCATATACTCGTGTGGAATGATCTCAGATCTATGGAGAGGCCAGGAACTCAGCTAATCCAGGTTGAGATCCGAAGAAGAGCGCATCGCCGACTAGATCAATAGGACTGGAGTAGATTCCTTGCTGGATAACTCATCATCGTCATCCCTCCTCGCCCGACCCCCGGTTAGTCCCGATGCGGCTTAGTGGTGTTGGGCCGCCCGCAGACACCCAAGACGCAGGCCGGGCGGAAAAGCAAAAGTGACTTTTTTCAGTCCGGACTTGCAAGTCTCTCTCAACTGCCCTGGTGTCTGTTTTGTCCCCCCAGCGTCGTCCTTTAACCAGAGCACGCCAGACACGACCCTTTAACTCGAGTTCCCTTTGGTGACGTTCAACGTTGCTTTGTTCTTCTTCATACTTCTTTTAATTCATCTTCAAGCCGGGTCTCAAAATCTTGTGTTCCTGACGCCGCGCGCTTCCTCCCAAAGCTCGTTGTGACGACCACTCCTATATACTCGCGTCATCCCTAATCGACAAACGAACCCCTTCGTGCAAGCCGCAATGTCCGATCTCACACCTTCGTTCCTGACGGAAAATTCCGTCGCCGCTGCCCTCAAGGATGCATACAATTCGTTTTCAGAGCGAAGGGCGGCCCTCGACCTACCTAACCCAGGAACCGTGGAGAACATCGCCAGAGAGGTGCAGAAGGATGTTCTATTGTCCAACTTCATGTTCACAGGTCTCCGGGCAGATCTAACCAAGGTCTTCGGCATGTCTCCTCTGTTCCGTGTCTCACATGCTTTCTCCATGGGTTCGTCGGGGAACCTGCCTCCGTATGCTTTCTCGGCCATGTATGGAAGTCCCAAGGTGGGTAAAGCTATCGTCCCGAACTCATTTCTTTCTCGGAATTCTTTTCCATTTCTTGCTTTTTTTCTCTTTCGCTATGGAAAGCTAAGATTCAACCTCCGCGGTTTTAAAAGGTTTTCATGCAAGGTAACTTCGGAAGCGACGGTGCGCTTGCTGCTGTCGGCAACTACCGTTGGACCCCCAAGCTTGTCACCAAGACGAACACTCAGATCATGGCTGGTGCTAGCCAGGGCCTGATGCAGATTGATAACGACTACACTGGCGATGATTTCTCGGCCTCCCTGAAAGCGTTTAACCCGTCCGCTTTGGATGGAGGCCTTACCGGAATTTTCGTTGGTAGCTACCTTCAGTCGGTCACTCCCAGCTTGGCCCTTGGTTTCGAGGCTATCTGGCAGCGTCAGGCCATGAACGCTCGCCCGGAGACCGCTCTCTCTTACAGCGCCCGGTACAAGACCAGCGACTGGATTGCTAGCGCTCAACTCCAGGCCCAGGGAACCTTCACCGCCTCCTACTGGAGGAAGCTCTCTGAGCGTGTTGAGGCCGGTGTTGACATGAACCTTCAGTTTGCTCCCAATGCGGCGGCGATCATGATGGGTGGACCTAGCAGAGATGGCAC